AGAATGTCACCAAGGACCTGTGTTCTCATAGCACTCAATGCTTATATTCAAAAAGAAGAAAGAGCTCAATCAGTGACCTCAGCTTCTGCCTTAAGAAACTAGAAAAAGGTGAGTAAGTTAAGTCCCAAGTAAGCAAGTGAAAGGAACTAACAAAGACCAAAGAGGAAATCAGTGAACTGGAAAACAGAAGAACAATAGGGGAAATCAATGAAACCAAAAGCTGGTTCTTTGAGAAAAATCAATAAAACTGATAAACATCTAGCCAGACTGACTAGGGAAAAAATAGAGAAAACATAAATTACCAACATCAAGATTAAGAGAGGGGACATTACTACAGATTCTATAGACATTAAAAGGATAATAAGGGAATATTATAAACAACTTTATGTCACTAAATTCCATAACTTAGATAATACGGACTTTCAGTTTCCTTTTAAGTCTCAAACTCCCAAAGCTCACCCAGAAGATGCAGGTGACTTGAATAGCCCTATATTTATTAAAGAAATCAAATTTTTAGCTAGAAAAACCTTCTCACCAAGGAAACTCCAGGCCCAGATGGCTTTACTGGTGAGTTCTACCAAACATTTAAGGAAAAAATAATGCCACTTCTACACAAAGGCTTCCAGAAGAACGAAGAGGAGAGAACACTTCCCAGCTCATTGAGTCCAGCATTACCCTGACACCAAAACCAAAAGCATTACAAGAAAATACACAGAAATCCTTAAAATCCCAACACCCACCAAATTGGCACCCTTTCTGGAGACAGTCGTCACTTGCCGCCTGCCCCTCCACAGCTCTTGTGAAAAGAAGTTACCCCAACCCAGGACGGGCCCTGAGATGGCCTTGAAATGTGCTACATGATTTTCTCCCCCTGGGTCCAGATGTTTGGACCCAAGGGCAGCCATTTAACTTACATCTGGAGGCTGGCTTGCAAAAGCGTGCTGGAACCCAATCAGATGCCCTTCTCAGGAGGCTGATCCAAGACACTCAAAGGGAAAGAACACTTGACTGTGGGAGCGGAGGATGGAGACTCATTTTGACTCAGCAGCTCTGGCAGCTATATTGGAACCATGAGGCAAAGCAGAGGAAAGGTGGGTCCAAAGAGGAGAATGGGGCAGATGCGTAGGCACTGGCAGAAATTGCCCGAGAGAAGGAGCAGGCAAGCGAGCGAGCAACGAGGGAATACCTCACGCTTCTGTCCCTTGTGAGGCCTAGCTCGTCAGATTCTTTTAGATTCATGTAAGATCCTTTATACTTGAGTGACACTGAGAGGGACTTCTGTTTCTTAAAGCCAAAACCACCCTAAGTAAACAAAATGCTCCACGAAACCCCCAATGTGGCTATCTTTGGAGATAAGATCTTAGGAGGTAATTAAGATTAAACAAAGTCATAAGGATGCGGCCCTAATCTGATAGAATTGGTGTTTTTGTAAGAAAAAAAGAGACCAGAGCTCTCCCTTCCCAGCCCACCCCCAACCCCCACACAAAGAAGAGGTCACGTGAGCACACAGTAAGATGGCGGCCACTTATAAGCCAAGAGAAGAAGCCTCAGCATGAAAGTTGCCTTGCTGGCACCCAGATTCCAGCCTTTGAAACTGTGAGGAAATAAGTTTCTGTTGTTCAAGGCACCCGGTCTATGGGATTTCGTTATGGCGGCTCAAGCAGACTAACATACCGTGTGACCCACACCTACCCTTGGTGGGAGCCAGGGCAACTGGCCCACAGTACAAGCAGGTGGCCTGTGCCCAGCGTGGGGCGGGAGGAGAGTGCCAGCAGCACAGCCCGGAGGGAGGCCGTCCCTGTGGCCACCAAGTCCAGGCCACTTCCAAGCTGACATGGACATATTGCAAGGAGACGACTGATAAATTTGGAACTATAGTTAAATGTCAACCAGCCTCTCACTCATCTGTCCCCTAGGAAGTGCTCCAAGATGTGCCAACGATCCAAGAGGGCTTTCCTTCCATTTTCCTGGTCCAAACATGAGCCTGGAGGGTAGACCCATCTGAGCACTGACTTGTTAGGAAAAGCTAACCCCTCCCGGGGGGATGGACTCAGCGCCATTCACCAGCCAGGTTACACTGGAGCACTTCCGGAAAGAGCGTGCTGTCTTGCCACTGCTTCACTCGGGTACTGAACGGCAGGCCCTGCTCGCCGGGATACTGCAGACACCTCGGCCCAGAGTAGCTGGGAGGGGTCAGTCCTGATCCAGCCCCCTTCCTCTGTCACTGCCCTATGGGTTGTCCACTCACAGACTTCTGTGTTCTAAGGTGGCCACTCACTAACCTTGTCCTCCTTGTGTGAGAGCTAACGGATCAGTGACCGAGAGCTCCTGGTCTCCGTCTCTGCAGTTGGGTGTTTCCATCTCTAAGGGAGAGTTTTCATGCCTTGTTGGTTGCTTCCATGATTTCTCCTTCTATTTGCTTCTGCAATGCTGCGAGGCAGCCCCTTCACCTGCCCGCCATGACCCACCCAGAGGCCTGCCCTCCTGGGGCTGCCATGGTGGGAGGGGGACAGGGAGTGGGTGCCTCCAGGCAGGGGGAGGGGACTCAACCAGAGAGGGACCCGCGGGGGCTTCAACTCTCTTAGTAACATCTGCTTCGTTTACTCACACTGGGTGATGGGGACGTGGGCGTTCTGTATTATTCTGTATGCCTTTTTGTATATCATGATTCATAAAAGCCTTGTAAAAAAAGGTTAATACAAAGGAAAGTGGGTATATATGAGTGTTATAAAGATAGCAGAGCAAAATTCACACGGCGCTGTGGTGCAGAGACCACCATCTCCCTAATGCAGCTGAGCACCACCTCCCCAGCAGAGCCCCGAGACCGACAGCAACACCTCACAGGCTGAGCTGGAGAAGGTGCTGGAACCGCTATGCAGTGGGTCCAGAGTCCTGGGAAATGCTGCCCTCAGCGCAGAGAACGAAGCTCGGCAGTTTGCGTGCACCGCAGACGCTGCAGTCTCCATCAGGAAGTTTGGGGCTTCTCGTTGATCTGAAAAGGAGGCACCTGGTGGACATGGTTGGGCTGGGAAAAAACCAGCAAGCATACAAACAAAAAAAACCCCACCCCTGTTTCTGGTCCTTGGGCGACCATTAAATGTTCTACCACCATGGAGGAAGGGACAACGGATGTCGGGGCCCCCACACTAGGGAAAAGGTGTATTTGTATGGGAGTGTGTAGGGGAGAGGTGCGAGATAGACAGCTTAATCTTCATTTTCCCTAGTAAGGGGTGGAAATCAGTAGATCACGGTTCAAACTGAAAAATCAGTCAATAGTCATAAAAGCATGTTATTGAGAATGATGGAGGTAATTATCAAAAGAAGTAACCAAAGAGTCTGGACTTTGCGGGGCTAGCCTAGGACACGGTTGCTGTTTAACCGATGTTTATTGTACAACTGACCAAATACAAATTAAATTAGGAAAATAAATAAAACAGATCAAATCAGAGCGGCTCTGTCTGGGCTGGGAGGGCAAACCCCGGCCCCAGCCCACCCCTGGGACTTTCACAGCTTAATTTGAAACTAGACAAACCAGCGTTTCAAGACATTCCCAGGAAACAAGAGGGAACCGCCAAACGCCTTGGAGGAGAAACAGACCCTTGAACAACAATTAGTCTCTGTGATTCAGGACGGGAGAACTTTGCTGCGTTCCGTTCCTACAAAGAAGCTGGGCAGACATCTCCCTTTTGTAGTTTATTCAGCTTTCAGAATCTAGAAGCAGCTGGAGTCTCCCTCTGTGGCTGTAGTCCCTGAAACCTAAGAATTGTCATTGGCCCCACGTTTAAGCAGCTGTGTCTTTCTGAGATGTCTTCTCCCGGCTGAAGATGTGCCTTCCTGGTCCTTCACAGGGATGTGAGGAGGGGGTCTTGAGAAAGAGCACAGCAAAAAGCTTCTTGCCCAGAGCCGTCTCTGACAGTGTGTAGAATTTTTCAGACACAGTCTTGGCTAATTTAAATAAAAGAAACTGCACATTTTGGTTAGGTCCTTCCTGGGCCAAGTTTTTACATAGATTTCCAGCAATGTCAATGCATGGTATACAATGATAGTCTCTTTAAATTGGGAAGAGGCTGCATGAAGATGCGAATGCAGTTGGAAAAGCTTTCAGCCTGAATCATGTAGAACAGGGACGTATTTTTACTACATTATTTCAGAGTCACGTGTGAACAGTCACACGTGACTATGTCCTTTTTAAGCCTTAGGAATTTATATATTTATAAAATCTGCAAAAGGGAGCATTACATGTGGGGTCTGCCCAGGGATTTCCAGGAACACCTTTTTGGGGGGTTTGTAATGTAGAAGAATTTTTTGAGGTGTGTCCCAAAGGTTGCCTCTTTATCTGAGAACTCTCACACCCACTGCCATCCCCAAGGGTGGGCCCTGCCCGCTCCCCCATATGTTCATGCTCACTAAGTTGAGCTGTATGACAGTCGGGGGGTCTGACCCAGAGGAAGCACTCCAGCAGCTGAGCCAGTCGCCTTCTCTGCCCTGGGGATTTGGGTCAGTTAGTATAGGCACCAAATTCATTAGGGTTATGAAAAGACCAGCCACGTTTCAACAGAGAGGAAAAAGCCGGTCTGCAGAGAGACCAAGCGAGGAAAAAGCAGGTGTACCGGGAAGCAGAGATGAGAGATGCTGGGTCTTGAGTCAGATCATCAGGCAGAGACCGACAGAGGCCAGGAGACAGCAAGACCAAGCGACAGGCAGATGGAAGGACAAAGAGACAGAAACGCAGTAAGAGAAAAAAGAGAGGACAGAGAGACACAGGAGCATAGACTGAGAAAGACGAAGCGGGTGGGAGACCGTGCCTGGGCTCCCCACACGTGCCCCCACCCCCAGGCGGGCTGCTCCTCATTCCAGGATCCCAGAGCGGGCCCTGCCATCATCAAGTAAATCGTTACTCTTTCTTAACCTGGTGGACGAAACTCTGTCCCTTTTGGCACAATTCCTGGGTGAGTCAGTCATCAGACAGTTCTCGGGAGTGAAAGAAGCTAGGGCTGCTGTTTTGTGTCTGTTCTGATCATTTATTTTTATCTTTTTTAGGAGGAGGGGGCATCCAGTGCTTTTTTCTTCTTTTTTCCCAAAGGGAAGGGAATTAAGCATGTCAGTCAGTATAATAAAATTCACGAAGTACATCTCTTTGTTCAGACAATGGTATTTTTTTCCTATCTCCAGTCATTAAGTCATTGCTGCTGTAGGAGTGACACTTAAGTGACTGGGTTTTTATTTTTGTCCCCAAGGGACAAAAAGTACTGCCTACTTTCTCACTGTGCACAGGGTGGGTGATGTGTCCAAGGCGATTGTTCCAGAGCTTCAGAGAGCTGGGAACGGTTGACCTGTGTAGAGACCAGCGTTGGCCATCTCTGTAGAGTGAAACCCCACCAGCTTCTAGCGCACAGTAGGTACACAATAAATACAACTGAAAGAATGGACAAGGGACGCACATGAGTGCTCGTGGATATAACCTGGCCACAGTAGCCCAAGCTGGAGGAAAGGAGCGGTGTGGGGACCTGGGCTTCAGGAGTCTCCTCCGTTTCCTTTCCTGCCATGTGGCAGGCTGAGTCACCTGCCCACCTGGACAGAGCTGGGGAGGGTCCTGGGCTGTGCCTGCCCTGGGACCCTGAGGCTCAGGAGGAAGGGGAGAGAGTAGGCTTCTGTTCACTGCTGGTGTGGCTGATGTCAAAGCACAAAAGACTGCTCCAGGTTCAGAGGGGTCCAGCTCACTAGGGTGGGGGCCCCTGGGGATCTGCGGGAGGGACCTGGGCTGCCATTCCCTCATCACAATGAACAGGGGGAGGGGTGCCCAGTCCCAGCCCCCGTCCTACCCCACCGCGCAGAGTGATCACAGGGTCACAGCCCAGGGTCAAGGAGTCTGCAATGTCACAGCTGGAGTTGCCAGTGGCAGGCTGGGCTGCAACCTGCGCAGCTGCCCTATGGGGCAGATGGAGGCTGCCCTGCCAGCCCTGCTGCCACCAACGTAAGGCAGCAGGCCAGCCCTGCCCTCTGAGGGTTGATTCAATCATTCTTTCACTTGTTTGTTGACTGACTGCCTCCTCCCCCTGGAACCCAGAACCCAAGGCCCAGGAGAAGGGGACAGGCGGCCCACAGACGGCAGTCCATCAGCGTCAGCAGACTGACGAGAGCTCTCGCTTTCCAGGTGTCCTTTAGTCTGTGTTTCACTCAAGGCCCCTGAGGCCATTTTCCTGAGGTTCTGGGTCTGAGGTTGCCTTTGACTGTCTTCCGGGCTTCGGGTTTTGGGCACCTGGGAGGCACATGTCCCCTCATTGATTCTCCAGTTTTCACTCTGTTGTCTCAGGTGATGACTATTGCAGTGTGAAGTTCAAAGCTGTTCCAATTATCAAGATTTTTGAAAGTCATCCAACTGTTTTTTGTTTGAAATTTGGGAGAAGTCTTTATTTTTCCATCGGGTTTAGGGATTTCACCAGGCTAGATCTTCGAGTCGGGGTAGCTTCTCATTTTCATTGGTATGAGATGACCCATCCCAGTCCATTAGAAAGTCTTTCATTCATTTATTTAACAGATATTAAGGGCTTACTCTGAGGGAGGGAGGGAGAAGGAGTGAGAGAGAGAAAATAAGCTTTGATTATTGACTGTGTTCTACTTGATTTATTCAGAAACACTAGGAATTTTTCCCCATATTTTATCTTCACACTTTATCCTAAAAGTCTGGTCTTTTCCCTAGCTTTCCTTTCGTCTCTCCATTAATCCTCCCCATTTGCCACATACGTTTCTCTTGTCTGTCTTCTGTTTAATCACCCAGTCTCCTGTAATCCTATTAATCACAGCTTCCAGTGACAAGCTAAAGCAGTGGGGCCCCCGGTTCCCCCGCACTGTCCTTGTCTAATGGCCCTGAGAAGAGGGAACAGTTGTTCTCTAAAATCTTCTCTCACTTGGTGTGAGAGATCCTTTTCAGAGAACAGGGTTATCCATACAATTTCACTGCTTTCTTCTTTTACTTCTGTGCTGGGGGCTTTCTCACTGGGATCAGATTAATTTTTTTCCTCTCATATTCAGACTCCCTTGCCATTCATGTGTAAATCCAATAAGAGTAAGTGGACTTTTTTTTTTAAAACAATCACTAAACCTTGTAGTATATGTGTGTTCAAAAGGGAGGAAAGAGAGGAAAGAGAAAATGAGCGGAGGGGAGAGAGGATCCTGTTTACCACTCTACTCGAAGAGTGCAGGCCCCACACGAGCAGAGACAGAAGATGTGATGGCAATCTGTGCTTCTCTTAGTGGGTCTGGGGTCCCATGTGCCTCTTGTACTGTGAGCATCTCAAAGTGAGAATGTGATTCCGATGTCTAAAGATGTGTATTTTTCATATGACAAGACCCATAAGGCAAACCAACTACTTCATCTGGTGCTCAAGCAAAGAAACAGCCATCCATCCCCACTTGGAAGGGAAAACTGGCTGAAGTGGATATTTCATAGGTGATACTGTACAGTAGAGATGTTTGGGTAATTTAAGGAGTTTTCGTGAGTAACTGACTATATGGGATAAAGTCTTACCTGGAGATTTTAGAATCCAATCCTCAGATAAGATGTGACCCCATTGTACAAGACACGTCAACCACGGTGTCGGGGATGCCACAGCTCCTTCTGGTTGAATAAAGTGGACAGGCACCTCTCCTCATAGCCTCTAATTTACAGGTCCCCTGACAACCTATGACTTGGTCCAAATAGACAATATGAGCCAGTCAGATTCCTCATCTCTGAAACTGGGGACAAAGAATGAGGCAGTTAGCCATGGGAGCTGAGACTTGAATGTCACACACTGCCATTTCTGCAATGTCCCATCAGTTGCACAGGTCAGCCCTATTCAGTGTGGGAGAGGACTTTGCAGACACAATTCATTAACACTTGTGGGCACCTGTGACATTGCAGGCACTGTTCTGGGGACTGAGGGGGCAGGGATGAAGAAGATTCCTGTTCTCATAGTGCTTACCCAGAGGGGTGCTCTCGGCAAGGCATAAATAAATACGTGAGCAAGAGGGTCAGAGAATAGCAGAAAACCCTAAGTTCTGGAATGAAGCCATGAATTCTTTTTGCAAGTAACTATTTCCTTTTTGAGAAACCTCTTGGCTTGCTTTTGGGTTCTGTTCTTATCTGTAAGTTTAAGCATGGAGGAAGGGCTGATGATGAGGTTAAGTAACCAACGGGGTAGACTAAAGAGGATGTATGTCAACAACTGACTTTGGCTTCCCCAAACCAGGGAATACTCTGCCTCTATTTTGAGAATTCCTCACCTTATGGACTCACCCCTCCACATGGTGGAAGCCAGATGCTTTCCCAGCCTTGCTTACAGAATAGGCCGAGCATGCAACTTAAGAAACCACCACTCAGATGCGCCTGCATGAGGCTAAGTGACACTGAGAAGCAGGTGCCAAGGAATCCTTCCTGGCGAGGACGGCAGCAGACCCATACGGCTCTGAGAGGCAGCAGCAGCAGGCATCCCAATGGGGGAACCGTCTTCAAGTGCCCACCAGGGCAAATGGCAGTGTGTGTGCATTGGGGGCTATCTGAGGACCGGTCCATGTAAACAGCTTCCAAGCCTAGTTTTCTGCTTTCACAAGGATTTTATAAGGCACCTAATATCCTTTAATAAATTCCTCTTCAGCTTCCACCAGCTAGAGAGGAGTCTGTTGCTTGTAAGCAAGGTCTCTTACTGGTATGTGGAGGGAGAAGGGCAATAATCCAATGAGTGAGATACTTTCTGACAGAGGTCATGCTAGGAAGATGTTAACACAAGGAGATGTGAATGGAAACGGAGCATCCCTTTGGAACTGACTGCACTTGTAAATACATCACACGGCAAGTCAGAACATGTAAATTGAGTAGTAGCTACAAATTTGTGACAGTGGAAACACATACACACACAAGGTGATGTGAGAGAAAGTGACAGGCAGGGGTGGGGGCAACTTTTGATAAGGTGGTCAAGATACCTGTCTGAAGGGGTGACATTTGAGCTGAGACCTGAAAGATGAGAAGGAACCAGCCATGCAAAGATATGGGTAAGCAGACTTCCAGGCAGAAGGCACAGAAAATATAAAGGACGAGTTGATGATGTTGAGGGACAGATGGAAAGTTGGAGTGTTTGAAGTTTAGTGCAGGTGGGTGAACAAGGACACGCTGAGATGGAAAGCGGGTAGGAGCCAGTTCATGCCAGGCATTGCCGACCACGGCCAGGCATTTGTATTTTATTCTAAGAGTGCTGGGAAGCCATTAGAGGGTTTTAAACAGGGAGTGATATGGTACCCATGGTAGCCAGCCTCCAGAATGTCCCCCGAGGATCCTGACCTCCTGGTATTTACAACTTTGTGTAGCCCCTCCCACACAGAATACAGCTGATCTGTGTATGTACTAAGATATTGCAGAAGTGACAACATGTGACCTTCCAGGTTAGGTCATGAAAGACATTGTGACTCTGCCTTCCTATGTTGGATCACTCTCTCTGGGGAAGCCAGCCACCATGTTGTGAGGACACTCAAGCAGCCCTATGGAGAGGCCCACTGCTGTGGCACTGAGGCCTCATGCCAACAGTCTTGCAAGTAAGACATCTTGGAAGTGGATCCTCCAGGCCCATCAAGCCTTCAAATGATTGCAACTCCAACCAACATCTTGCCTACAACTTCAGGGGAGGCCCTGAGCCAGAACCACTCAGCTAAGCAGCTCCGAATTCCAGATCCGTAAGTGCATGAGATCATAAATATTTGTTGTTCTAAACCACTGAGTTTTGGGGTAATTTGCTACCTCTTTCCATTGTTCACAGCTGGTGTCTGTTTGTTTGGCGGGTGCCCATGCTTTAGAAGTTGTTAGGTATTTTGACTATCAGCCCTGAGTAGGAGTGATGACACAGAGAAGAGTCACGAGTGCGATGAGACCAAATGGTGGAGGCAGAGAGAAAAGCATCTCCCTGGGGAGGGATGACTCACTGGTGCTATTTGCAGGAGGACAGAGCAAAGATCTGCAGCCCAGCTTGACTGCAGTCTTGGCTCTTCCTGCATCCGAGTTGTTTTCCTGGGTTCCCAAGTTTCCGTGTCCTCATCATAGATGCCCCACGACTTGGGGTGAGACAGGTAATTTTCTTCCTTGTTCCATTCAGAGCAATTGTGAACCTGATCTTGGAGGCCTGGGCAGTTGTCCTGGTTCCCTTTCCTGGGCTGGGTGCTCAGCCCAGATAAGAGCACTGGGCGAGGGCCAGCGGCAGGAGCTGCCTTCCTTCTCCCTCCTCCGTGCAGTTGTGGCCACTCCAGCCAGGTGTGATGGAGGTTGTGTGAAGGGAATCCACTCCTTCGTCTCTTCCCATTGGAGGGGCTGGACCATGTGGATTCAGGATTCAGAGCTACGCTCCTCCATTTTTGCTCTGGCTGTGCCTGAGAGTTTGTTTGGGCTGATTTCAAGGACTTTTTAATGGGATTTAGGGAGAGGAGATGCTGGAATTTCAGCTCACTCTCATAATTTCCCGAAAATCAGACACAGCATTTCCCCCCTTTTTGGCATTAAATTTAAAACGTATTAAATAGAAAAAATTCAAACAATATAAAAATAAAAGGTGAACTCCCCTTTCTCTTCCCACTCTCTGATTGTTCAGATTATCTCCAGCTTTTCTCTAATACAAACAGTTCGGTGAGGAGCATACTTCACTTATCCATGTACTACTGAGCAGGTGTCTCCAAAGAACAGATGTCTGGAAGTTTATCTGCACATTTTACATCTTGACAGGTTCTTCCAATGGCCTTCAAAAGGCTGTCCTGGCACAGAACGCCCCCAGCACACAGGAGCATTCCTTTCTTTTCGCCAATGCTAGATATTACCAAATTTCAAATTTGCATTTCTCTGATCTCTAGTGAGCATAAATGTCATTTCTCAATGCGAGGCCATTTGAATTTCTTCTCCTGTGAATTGCTTGTTCTTGTCCTTTGACCTTTTATATACTGACATATAAAGCTTTAGCCTTTGATATGAAGGGACTCTACATTTTAGGGTTATTACGCATGTTGCACCTACTGTCTGTCATTTGTCTTCTATCTTTGATATGGTCTCTAGCCCTACAAAAGTTTTAAATTTTTATGAGGTCAAATCTGTCCATCTTTTCCTTTAGGGCTTCTAGATTTTGTCTTTCTTACGAAGGTTTTCCCCACTCCAAGAATATAAAAAATATTTCATCATATTCTCTTCCAATACCTTAATAATTCTGTTTGATAGCTAAAGTCAAATTGTCCTCCAGAAAGGTCGTACCAATTTACACCCCACCGGCACTGTGTGAGAGGCCTCTTTCTCATACCCCCACCAGCCCTGAGCACCCGCGGGCTTTCCAAATCTTTGCTAATAGTGAACAATATGTATCTCGTTGTTTTAATCAGGATTTCTTTAATTATGAGTGAGATCCAGCATCTTCTCATATGGGTATTAGTTATTTGCATTTCCTTCTCTGTGAACTGCCTGATTGCATCTTCGCCCTGGATTTTCTGTTGGCTGTTGGTCTTTATCTTATCGATAGATGGCTCATTGTTTATGAAGGAAATGAGCCCTGTGTCCGGCCCCTTTGTGGTGAATAATTTCCCCTAGTTTGTCCTTATCTCTCTGCTGTCTGCTAGCAGCATCTGTCGCCAGCTGCTTGGTGCAGCAGGATGGGGAGGAGCAAACCCTTGCCACACCCCATCAGTCACCTTGTCACCTCTCCTGCTCCCCGGACCTGCCTCCCCTGTGCTCGGCACGCCCCGAGGACCAGCCCCACTTTACAGGCATCCTCTTCTGAACATTTATGGCTAGATTTTTACCTTCAACTCAATCCCATCTATCTGCCTTTCACTTCCCAGCATCCTTTATTCCTCATAATTTCTGATAATGAGGATATCCCTTTGTAGTTTCTAGCCCGGTTATAGATTTTTAAAGTACATATTTTTTCCAGTCACGTTTAGAGGTTGGGTTGGGCTGGGGCGGTTGGAACAAGTGCTCAAGTTGCCCTCTTTTTTTTTTTTTTGAAGATGTTATTTTTCCTTTTTTCTCCCCAAAGCCCCCTGGTACATAGTTGTGTATTTTTAGTTGTGGGTCCTTCTAGTTGTGGCATGTGGGACGCCACCTCAGCATGGCTTGATGAGCAGTGCCATGTCTGCAATCAGGATCCGAACCGGTGAAACCCTGGGCCACCGAAGTGGAGCACGTGAGCTTAACCACTCGGCCACGGGGCCGGCCCCCTCAAGTTGCCATTTTGATTCAAGCTTTCCACCGTTAATTCTTATATAATCATGTAACTGATTTCTCTTACTGTTTCTTCTGGTCTTAAATTTGATTTTCTCCAAGATTTCAGGTCTAGCATCATGTCATCTGCAAATAATGATCATTTTACCAAACACATTTTAGCAAGCTTGCGTTGGCGAGCCACACTCTCATTCATGCAAACTAGATGACCAGGAAGACATTTAGAATTGAAAGAAAAAAACAAACCCATCTTCTAGACCAGAGGCTGTTGGTCAGCACATCCCGGGCGGGGTGCCCCCTAACAGTTATTACAAGGCAGTGGGAGAACGCCAGGGGGCGCTCTGTAGGCAACAGTTCCCTCTCCAGTGAGTATTAAAGTCTCCGCAGGTGAGGCTCCTTGGCGGGTCCCTTATTCATATTAATACTGGTAATCAACAGATGTAATAATCATATTCATGGATTGGTCAGAGGCATCGATCAGACTTCCATGAGCCTGGGACCGCTGGGTCCTCCATGTTGGAAACTCTGGGTGCCCCCTCCTCCTTTCTGTGGGCTCTTTCTCCGTTTTTGCTCCATCCTTTCCTCCTCCTTATTTGGTCCTTTCAAAGTCTCTGATTCTCTCCCGTATCCTGCCCTCACCCATCCCTACATGTCTCCATGCCTTTCCCAGTGTGCCCCACAGAACATCAGACTCACAACGTGGTCCCGACAAAAACGACTGAGAGGTCAACACATTTGAAAAATGCTGACCACCACGTCAGCCCCGTGGGGCTGGGCTGGCATTTTACAGCCTGTGGGAAGTCTTTTGGTGGAGATAGCTCTTCGCCGTGTTTACCGGGGCAGCAAGTACCCCGCGCCTGCAGAAGCACTGACCCGAGCACCCCTGGTTGGCACTCTGCAGATCCAGAGCTGGCCAGGCCTCGCCGTGGGGAGCGCTGGCTCTCAGGCCCCTGGGCAGGAAGTGATTAAACACACTGTTCGCAGTGGCTAGAGGTGTGTGCTGGTGTAACACTGGAAGTTCCCCAGAGCTAGGCCAGCAAGATCCACCGGGGAGACGCAGAGCTGCAGCAATTCCTCGGAAAGTTCAGTCTTTGCAAGCTGGCAGGCTGAAGCAACTCTTCGCTCCAGGGGACTTCTGAGAAAGTCAGTGGGGCAGCACACACACTCGGAGGAACTGCTGAACAGCCAGGGCAGAATAATGGCTGCTCAGGGGCCTCACGGGAACCTTCTCTCCAGGGCACTGCCATTAATGTGGCTCAGTTTCAGTGACCCCAGACTCTGTCTCTCCCATTCAAGCTTCAAATCCCTGGGAGAGAAGATCTGGTTGGCCAAGAGGATCAAACAAGCATGGCCAGGGGAGCAGGTCTGTGAAGGCCTGGCTTCTGGGAGCCAAGGGCCCGAGCAGCCTCCAGTTTGCATGGCTCCCCCTGCAACCAGTAAAACCAGCCCCTGGCAGCTTGGTGGAGGGAAACATGGGCCCTGCCGAAACCAGTTATGGAAGATTCGGTGCCTATAAGGCCAGGCTTTGAGTAGGTGAAGAATAAGCACCATTTGAGGTTAGACTGGAAAGCTGGTGCCTTGAGAAGATCTGAGCGCGGCCACTGGTGCCCTGGTCACACTGGTTAGCAACGCCAGCTCCTTAGAGAGGAGTGGGGAGGCTCGGACAGGAACCCTGGGTGTGTTGAGAAAACGATGTCCAGTGCTCCTTTCAGAGTATGGGCTTGGTCTTCTCAGTAAACCCTTTTGTTGTGTTTCTGAGGTCTGGCAATAAAGGACTCGTTTAATAAAAAGAGTAACAGGGAAAACGATAGCTAACATTTAGGGAGTACTTACCAGGGCAGGCCCAACCCCCATTTTGTAGATCAGGAAACTGGAGCACCCAGAGACCACTGCCTCACTCAGGCTTCACTGCCAGGAAAGATAGAGACCAGATTTGAACCCGGGTCCCTATCACTCCAGAGCCCATGCACTTGGCCCCTAAGCAACACTAGGTCTTGTCCATACACATACGTCCTGGTCATGTCTGCTGTCCTAGCACAGGTATCAACACCTTTCACTCTCAAAGTGTCCTGGTTTGGATGATAAATTCTAAGGAATCCAGGCTAGATGGAACCGACATTATCATAGCAAGATGCTGGTGGGCAGAGTTTGGAAATCCTAGGCTGCAGCTGCCCCTCACTGTCCCAGAACGCTGGCTCCCAGTGCTCCTTCTCCCAGGGTGGGTCTGTGTTATGCTGGGGAGATGGCCTCATTGCCCCGATACCTGGGCACTTTGCAAAGCAGCCTTCCGAGATTTCCACGACTCCAAGGTTCTTTCTCTGTATTCTCCCTGCTCCCACCTGCTCCATGGACTTACCAAGCTCTGCTCCCTGTTTTCATGCCTTAGCCTGGCTAGGAAAGCAGTTGCTGTGGTCCCTCTGTTCCCAAGAAGGGAGTCACGCTCTGAGTGTTTTCCCCAGCCGTGGGTACGGAAGCTTAGGGCTTTTAACCTTCTTGTCCAAACCTGCAGGTGAGTCCTGGAAGCAGAGGTGTTGGGCTCTCCACTCAGACGGGGCTGTCCTGGAGAGGGCGTTGATGGCAAGGATGGGAAGGAGGATACTGGGTGCCATTTAGTTGGGCACTGGGGAGCCACGATTGAGTCAGACACAGTCCTTGTTTCAAGTCGTTCATAGACCAGGGAGAAGGCACAAAAGAGGAAACGAACAGAGAAGGTGCATCAGTTAACTATTGCTGCAACAATGCTACATAGCAAATGACCCCATCATTCAGTGGCTTACTGTTACAAGTATTTATTTCTGGCACATGTATCTGCAGATTGACTGGGGCGGCCCTGCCAATTTCAGCTGGACCTGGCCAGATTGGCTCCTAGGCATGGGTTTGGTTGAGGTCTGCCCTGTCTCTCATTCTTCTGGAACCAGTGGGCTACGCAGGGGGAAGCTGTGCTCATGACAATGGCAGATGCCCAAGGAGGGCAAGCTCAGCCACCCACTCCCTGCCCCATCCCCCCCATGAATGCTTCGCTCCAGGTTTTGTCTCCAAACATCTTATTGGCCAAAGCAAGTCCTACAGCTAAGCACAAGGGCAAAGGGGCCTCGAGGGGTACCATTCCCACAGTGGGAGGAGAGGGAAGGAAATACTTGCCAAACAATAACCCAAATCTCACAGAAGGCTTCACACAGGATTTTTCCAAGTGAAGATGGGATAGGGCGCTGCTGTCAGCGAGATGAAATGCGTGTGTCTGGGGAGTTGTTAGGAGGCCTGGTCATGGGGGTCCCCTGAGCCGGAAGCCTGGCATGTCCTTTCTTTGAACACAATACTACCCGCGCCCCCCCCCCCCCAGTCATTTTCATTATTTCCAAACTCTAAAACTTCAACTCTATGTCACCAAACACAAGTTCAAGACTCAGTTTTCAGCAAGGAGTCATATTGGAAAGTGTAGCGCTTGGCCCTGCACTGGGGATTTATGCCAGTTTCACTGGTAATAAACCAGACAATGTTAGCCCACTCACCCCCATTTCAGGGTTCAGGTCTCCAACCTTGCAGCCCGGCAGCCACCCCGGCGTGGCTGTGACCAACGCAGCCCTTCCTGAACAGACTCCTTGACGACCAAGTCAAGGCAGCCATGAAGTGAACCCAAATAGCTCAGTAACGGAGGACTGGGAAACCCATTTTACAAGGACTGGCAGCAAGAGGGCGGCCCATGTGCACCAGGAACTGGGGCCAAACAATAGTGGGAAGGATGGTTACAGGACAGGACGCTCGTAGCGCAAACGTTGACAATGTAGAAATAAGAACTCACAGCATTAGGGAGGGGAAGGAGATAGGAAGTGGGTGAGCTCATTTCCTCATCCTAAATCGCAGGCTGTCAAGAGATACCATTGACAGTTGAAACATGTTTAAAGAATGAGTCCGGCCCCTTCATACTTTCCTTTTAGAGAAATAGTTTAGAAACAGAAGAGGCACAACTATTTACAGCTTGGCAACTTCTTTAGTTACATTTAGGTTTCCTTTTGTTCTGTTAAATTTAAAGACTTTTTCCAAAAAGAGCATGTAATGTGTGAGTCCTTTTTTGTAAACATTTCCATCCATCTCCTGTCCTTTTCTCTGAATGGGTGTGTAGAGAGATGTCTCCATTGAGGCTTCTGGGGGTGCTGGCTTTCCAGACCACTCGAACGTGTTTTTTGTACTCTTTAGTGTTACATGAATTTCTTATAAGGAGCATGCACCACTATTATAAAAGCAAAGGCTTTTTAAAAAAGTTGAAATACATTCTGGAAAAGAGAAAATTCTGCACTCCTTGGTTAGGCCCCTCTCACTTGTGCATCCTCCTGGCCAGGGCGGCCACATGGTGGACACTCCGTGACGGGCCTGGGATGGTTCCTTGGTGGCTCCAGGCCATCCACTGCCGGGAGGGGTGTGGTTCATCCCACTGGTGGCCCGGCTGGGGGCAGAGTGGGGGACCACTCAGAAGTCAGCAATGCTTGCAGTCCCGAGTGGGGAGGCACCTGGCCTTGGAGTTGGCCACCTGGGGTCAGAGCCTGTGCTCTGCATTCTGCGGGCTGACCTGGAGCCTCTCTGGGCCTGTCTCCTAGTCTGTAGACCCAGAAGCCATCCTCGTCCTGCTTTCCTTTCAGGCTGCAGTGAGGGCATGTGATGCGCAGAGTCTGATCGCCCACAGTCGTGTGGTCACTCAAGAGACTTGTTATTACACTGTGCCATCACAGGATTCAATTCTAACCAACACCGCTGCCAACGCAGTCTGAAGGCTAAATCTGAGGGTCAGGTGGCTCTATCCCGCTGTTTTCAGGTCTTGACAGCCACTCTTATGGTCTCAGCTCCATCTAGTGTCCACATGGAGACACAGGCACATATAATAGGCTTATTGTAAAACTTCTAATTTTTCTTCTAATTTCTATGCTAACTTCTACTAATTTCCATACTTGCAAAGAGTACAGCACTCATCAGGCAAGGAGGACGCAAATAAGATCTGTATCGAGTATTCCTCCCCAGACTAAGATTTGGTCCTTCAAAGCAAGCGTTCTACAAATCCAGTACTTCTAAAGATTTGTGCACCCTGTCTTTGAAGGGATAGCATATTCACGCAACAAATAACACTTACAATAACTGACATTCATTGAGTGTTCACTGTGTGCTGCGTGCAATTCTAAGTGCTTTAATTGTTCACCTCACCCTCCACGACGCTATGAAGCAGGGGTGGGGGGTGCTCCTTGTCCCGATTTATAGATATGAACACTGAGGCACCCAAAGATAGTAAATCTGTCACTCTGCTAATTTCTGAGGGGAGGCAGAGGCTGCCTTACTGGGGCTGGGGACGAGGAGAGAACCAAATGGGAAGCTACTGCAAGGCTAGGGAGACAGGGATTGGTGGCCGAGACAGTCCTTGGGGACTCTGGCTGGAGTGAAAGGTGAAGGAGGAGGAGGGTGCAGAAAGGCCTGCTTTCTGGCCTAAGCATCAGGGCAGAGGCTGTGATCCAAGAGAGCGTATACAGTAGTCAGTAGTTTAAAACTATTTGTTGAGCACCTACCACGTGGCAGGCACGGGAGATGGAGAATTCCAGTACACAGGCGTGGCCCCCGTCCTCGCAGAGCTTAGAGCTCCACCGGGAAGGTGGGTGTCACAGGGTGACAAGGCACGCTTGCTGGCGTACACAGGTCTACACAGGACAGGTGCAGGTGGGGTGCAGCGTAGATAAACCTGAGCTGACAGGTGGGTGGGGGTGGGGGCCGAATGTGGGGTCATTGACTTGAGGACTGGACAAGGTGGCCCAGGGACAGTTGAACTGAAGAAACAAAGATGGAAGGAGGATACACACAGGAGATGGATGTGTGACCTGAGAGAACAAGGACAAAAGGGTTTACTGGGGCTGAAGAGAGGATTTGGGGGAAAGGGACTGGCCACAGGGCTCAAATGTCAGGGAAAGGCCATGGAGGAGGGACCGAAGAGGCCACCAGACTGGACAGGCCAGAAGGGCTGGCAAGAGCATTGGGCAGTGGGACTCTGCAGACAGGGGCTGTGGATGGCAGGGAAGGGGGTGGAGTTGAGCGTGAGGGACTTCAGGGCGAGAAGGAGACAGGACTGTGGCCTGAGGAGTGACCGAGGCTGAAGAAAGAGTTGTTTCATCCAGTTTGCTTTATCAAGGAGGAGCCAAGGCACATCCACAGGCTGACGGGGACGAGCAGCTGGAGAGGGCTAAGCAGGAGGCAGGGGCTCCTTGGAGGAGGAGCCAATCCATCACAAATGGGGAAACGAGAACCAACTGAGGCAGGGGGAAGGCGGTAAGATGGGTATGGGTTTGGGACAATTCTGAGAATGGGGATAGAATGGAGAGCAGGTGGGATGCTGAGGGAGCTGCCCCGATGGCCTGGAATTTCTGGACGTGAGGAGAGAAGGGAGGGCCTGAGGAGAGGAGAGGTCTGGAGCGCCCCTGGGTGGCAGGAGAGGACTGGGTTAGTGGACAGTGTAGGGCTGTTGGTTTTCTTTGGCAGGGAAAGGCCAAGGGTCAGAGCAGGAGGGCTGGTGAGGGAGTCAGGGAGGCTACCGACCCCATGGTCTAGGCTAGGGAAGGAAGGGAAGTCAGGAGTGGACAAATAGCCTGAGAGAAGAAGAGACAAAGGATAGAATTCTCAGTGGGGTCAAAGAACAGGGTGTGTGTGGACCAGAGTGGAAGTGGTGGCTCAGGAAGTTAGGGCCAGAGATGGGATTTCTGAGGAAGATTTCGGAAGAGTCGCCTTTACGATAAGCCTGGGTGAGGCTGAGGAAGTGGGTCTCTGAGGGACACGTGTGGCTGTGTGCTGTTGGCAGGCCTCACTTGTGACCATGCTGGGACAGGGGGAAAGGGGGTGGGGACGGCAGGTAGAAAAGAGAACCGAAGTCCTTGGTGAAGTGGGAGAGGGCCTAAAGGCCAGCATGTGACAGCAGAGCATGGGGGGAGGAGCACCAGTGGGCTGAACCTCCGCAGGGGAAGGGAGGTTCTAGGTGAGGGCAGGGCCAGGGCTATGGACAGGGTGCTGGCAGTGGGAGGCAGAATCCTGAGGCCTTGCCAGGATGCCGTCTGTCCTTGGTATTCACGGTTGAAAGGAACCGTGTGCCTCAACCTTCTGAACTTCTCTCAGGAGTGGATGCAACAGCACGTGTTAAGAATGCTTGATGAGCAGGCCAGTGCAGGCCCTGCCACGCCAGGGACCAGAAATCCCCAATGGCAGGCAGAGACGAGGCTTCCCACCAGTTCATCCCACCGAGGCTGAAGAAAAACACCAGATGCAGATGCCACCTTATTGTGCTGCTTTTAATTACGAAAGATGTAAAATGAGGCGTTATAAAACTCGGAAGCTACTTTACACAAATTCCAATCTTTAAATATTGTTTAACAAGGGGCTGGGACTCAGGACACTGGCGGGCAGGCTGACTAGTTGCTCTGATGGGTCCACCATGAAGCAATGGAACCATCTGTGCATAAATCAGAAGAGCCCGTGAGAGTCAGATTGGAAATGTCTTCAAATACACAAATGGTTGGAATACACAACATCTCAGCTCAGGTGACAGACAGTAGACTTAGGAGAAATGAAACAGGACAAAGGAGAATTTATGTTGATCTTGACATGATCAAGAAAATTCTCTCCTAACACTGTCTGTCCTAAAAACCACAACCACACAGAAAGAAAAAACGGAAACAGATAGGTTTTTAGTTCTATGCTATTTAACTGCTAGTAAATGAAAGTAGTACAGCCATAAATTTCTTGTGACAAAACTAAATATTGAAAAATAGTTTATTTTGAAGTATGCAGCCACTTCAGATGCCGAGGACCACCCCTGGTTTGTTGCAAAGGCAGCAATGAGTGCAGACTCAGCCGCTGAAGGCACGACACCTGTCCATGGGTGGCCTGGACACCATCTAAGCAAAGTGGATGGTCTAATGCCCAAAACCTTTTCACAGGACAAGACTGGACTGATGGACTTACGGACAAACTTAGTTCAGTGCTAAACCTTACTGTCATCATTACAGTCCCGCCAAAATGTCACTTTTCCTGGGAGCCTCCATTTCCATGTGTCACCTGGAGAATGCCCCAGGGGCAGCGCACTTCACAGTGTAGGTCTCAGGGTCTCCAGTTGTAAGGCACGGCTGCCCTGCAGACAAAGAGAGCTGGCACCCCGACATCGATGATCCCCATGGGAAAGGCACTGTGCAAGAGTGGATTATGCTGGGACCTCCATTTCTCAAAAAAAAACCCAAAAAACCCCACACCAAAAACTTCTTACTAACAGCATCACTCCCTGTCTCAAAGGCCAGATCAGATTTCGGGGACCTTCGACACAGGAAAGGCAGCAAGGAGGTGGCTTCTGTCGGCACACTGGGGTGCTGTGTATTGTTACAAGGAAAGGCCCTTTGAACAGAAGTCACCTCCGTCTGAGATCTCAAGTCTAAAGGGATCTGCAAGTTGCACTGGGAAGAAGGCTTGGGGGGGAGGCCGACTCCTCTCCGAGCCAGGGCTCAGGCAAGGACTGCGGGTGGATCTGCCGATTCAGCAGCAGGGGTTCAGGGCTAATGCGAAGCGAGGAGACCTGGGTCCCCCAGAGGAGGATGGAGTGGTGTGCCAGCAGGGTAATTTGAAAGACTGGACGTAAGGCAATCCCTCTGAAGACAAAAGAGAAACGGGACGAGGTCTGGAGATGTTGACAGTCAGGATCCTGCGACAGACTCTTGCCATAAGGCACAGAAGTGTCGGGTTCAGACCCTCCTAGCGCAGCCTGGCTTCTTTGCGGGAAAGCAGTCTAGCGACCTGCAGTGACACTCCTGGTGGCCCCAGGAAGGGCCATGGCTGTCCAGGCAAAGGTTCGGCATCTCTCATCTTCCTGCAGTGTTGCTGTCCTCCCCGCCCTGTCTTCCCATGCCTATGCTCTGCTCCACTGCCCAGACCGCTTCCCAGAAGTGCTCTGAGGCATCGTCCCCTCTGTTCTCTTCAAACCCACCAGTCAGGTTTCTGGTCAGGGGCTGGCCTAGCCTAAGTTGGAGGAAGCAGGCAGGGGTGGAAATGTGGTGACACTATTTTATACTAAGGTACTGATGACTAATGATGGTTTCATGAATTAGGCCTTCAATTTACTATAGACTATTTCTTCAACCTCAAAGAATGAGTCTCTTTTTAAAGCAATCTAGAGCAAAACGTGCATCTGAGAGGGAAGACCTTTTGCGGTGGAGGCCTGGCCAGGATCCCTGAAGCCCCAGCCTTGGGAGGCTCAGACATCCTGGAGGCGCTCAAAGATAGTCTGTGCCTACCTGCCACGCAGAGCAACTCAAGGAGAGCACAGCACCCAGTCGGATTGTGGACTTGGTCACCTAGTGTTACAGCATATTAAAGTGCACGCTGAACTTAACCACAGGCGTGTTAGAAAAGCTAAAGCTCTGAGATTTGGCAAGGAATAGGGATAGGTAAAGATTAGACTGCCTCCCGGCAAGGCAGATTCGCTCATTCATTCCTTCATGCACACATTCAACACGCAGTTACACAGCACCCACGCAGTGCTAGGCACTTAGGTACTAGGGGTTCAACGAGGAAGAAGGCACAGTCCCTGCCCTTAAGGAGCTTACGGTCTAGTGGGGTCATAGTGCCACTCCCGGTCCACAGAGAAACAGCTTCCCTCAGTCCAGACCTCCGGCCATCCCCTCCAGCTGGTCTGCAGAGAGGGAGGCCTGCACTTGCCTGGAGCTTGTCTAGGGGATGACACGTGTCTGTGAGACACCTACAGCCCCCTTCCTTCTTCCCCAGCCACCAAGAACAGCACTGTTCTCCTCAGGCTCATCTATCACCAGGGGACTTTCTTTCAGTGACTGAGTAGAATAGTCTTCCTCTTCCTCTTGTCCACAGGAAAAGGGATCCTGGAGCAGCAGGAGAGACTGTAGACCGGAGGAAACAAAGTAGACTTCAGTTTGCTTAACTCAAGTCTGTTCTTGGCCTCGTGGTAGTCTTCTTCATATTAGAATTAAGGCATCGGAGAGAACACAGCTCTCCTCTCTGTTCTGGCACATCCCTGCCACCAGCTGGCGGGCGCACAGCCATAACAGCTAGATCGAGAAGGCCCGAGGTGCTGGGGTACTGCTGCTCAGACCCAAGCCCGTTCCCGAAAGCCTGTGGCTCCTGCCGGCCTCCCCTGCAGGGCCCTTCTTCAGTGTCGGCTGAGATCAGTGGTTCTGAGCACTACGCAACGCTACTGGGGCCTCCAGTGCATGGTATTTTCTACTTTTACACATCGATCAACCAGATGGCCAACAGAAAGATTTAACGGTCACGGTGAGGACCCACTCATCAGAAGCTCCAAAGCAGCCTGCCTGCAGCAGCACCCTTGCCGCAGGCCTGGGAGGCAGTGCAGAGCTCTGTGGTCGAGAGGGAGCCACAGCGTGCGAGACGCAACCTCATCCGAAAGCTGGGGGCCGTGGAATCGGTTCCTTCTACGTCAGAAGCTTGAGATAACTACAGCCCAGGGGTCTAGCTGGCTCCATTCTATTCCGTTCTATTTTAGCTGTTTCAGAAATAAATTCTCCTGTTCTGTTTCACTCTGTCACAGTCGGTCAGCTCGAAATGTCTCTTCCACAGAAGGGTCAAGCAGGCCCATGCTGGAGTCACTTAACATGTTGAGTCCGTCCAGGCTCAGGGGTTCAATTTGGAGCTCTTCTTCCAACGGAAACGGAGTGTCCACGCTCAGGCTGACCTCAGGCATGCCTGCCAGTGCGCTGCTGAGGTCTTTGAACAGGCTGGTGCTCGAGTCTTCTGGAAGGAGCAACGAGAGGGAGAAACAGTGCGGATTAGGAGGCGTGAGGGCCCCAGGCTAAGAGGACACAACTGATGACATCTCCCAAAACACTGTCCCTCTTATCTTCCCAAGCAGGACAGTGATGGCCTGTGTCCCAAGCACCCCCAGGTCTGCAGTTTTGCTGTGGAATCTACATTTTTTTCAGTCAGTTCCACAACTCCCTTTGCACAGTTGTCAGTCACTTGAAACTCAACAGTTCAGAAAAGGCTCAGGTCACCAGGTCCCTTCCCCAGGGCCTCGTGGTCTCTGGGGCTGGACAGCTGCATCTCAAAGAGGTAAAGCTGAGCTGGGGGACTTGCAGGTTCGCTTTATATAATATTGTTGTTTAAACTATCTTACAATGGAATCTTTAAAAACTAGCAAAATAAAAATAGCAAAGAAGCTGAGTGGTGGCCCACACTCACCTGTCAGCACGGTGTTTGGGAAATTCCCGCAGTTAGAATACAGGTTTGGTCTCAAATGAAATGAGTCCTGGGGTTCTCGTGGACCCTGCGGCACCAGGGGCACCTGGAAGCATCAAAGGTCACGTTGTAAGGGACCATCTCTGCTTCCAAGGAGTGAGAGTGCAACGTGCTCTCAGAGCAAAACCGGACATGAAAACTCTCTTAGAGGCCCTTCTCTCTAGGATCCGAGAGTGCTTTGCCATTATGATAACCTACGCAGAACATTCTTCTCAGGAGGCAGATGCTAGGGTGGAGGAGGGGTCCCTGAGGCCCACAGTTTGGTGACCTGTCCCCGTTCACACAGGGTCTGGCCCACTAAGCCATCCCAGGAGGCACCAGTGGTCATGGTTTCAGTGGCCCCTCTGGTTTCAGACACCCTTCCTCCTCAGTCTCACCAAGACTGAAAACCTTTGCAAACTCTGTGGTGGGAACCCTTCAAAGGCTCCATCTGTAAACAAGGAAGTGACAGGCTTTTTTCCTTTTTGGTGTCTAGAAAAACAAGAAAGTGGAAACTTTTTCTTCTCACACTCAGAGGGAGGAACCTCAGGCAAGCCCCTCTCTATGAGAAAGCTTCTGTGAGGACTGGTTCACCTTCTGACTCACCTAGACTAAAGCGGCTTCTTCAGAAGACGGGGAGGCAAGGACTACTGGTTCCTACCACAAGGCTCCACCACGGCCTACTCAGGAAAGATCTATCTTTATTTATTTTACTGTTATTATTAAGTTCTGGAAAATGCTCCACTCTTCCTTCTCTCCCTAATCCAGCCAAGAGCCCAATCCATACTTACTGAACACTACAGCATCCCGGGATATTAAAAATGATCAGTGTTAGGGAGAAACTAAAAAGCAAAAGGAAATGGCTGAAGGAAAATATCTTAGGGGAGGACCCCTGTCCCCACCAGGACCGAGCTCTCCCCAGGAGGCCACACACAAACCGTGTTGGTACAGGAACTCGGCCTGCAGGCAGAGGCCTTTTTGTGTCCCAGTCTCCTCAACATGACAGATTAGTGGACTGCTGTGGTCCCTTCTGGTGTGAACAATCCTACAATTCTATGACTAGAGTGTCATCAGAAGTCTTCTTGAACCAATTGTTCCAACAGTTTCTCTGCAGAGGCCTGACACTAAATAAGGCAGCCACACCAGCATCCTTAGGGCCAGGGGAGAGTCCAGGCTCGCCTCACCACCGAGCACATCTGAAATCAGGGAAGTGGAGTACCAAGTCCATCTGGTGTGGGTTCCACACTGGGATGGCCCAAATGGGGCAGTCCCTGCTCCGAGGAAGAGGCAGGCCTGGGCGATCACTCACCTGTTGGGTAAATGCTGGGTCTGGCCTCAAGGACTGCTGGTCAAAGCTCACATCCGGGAAGAAGTTGGTCAAAGAAGAGCCCTTCAGGGAATAAGGAGGGGACCATTCAGCTTGGAACTCAAGGCAAAATGGGTGTTCCCTCCTGATATTCCTGCTGGGACTCACCTGGGGCGTGAGGAGCGGGAAGTCTGACTGTGGCAGAGATGAGGCTGCCTGGGGCTGCTGAGCAGGGGGCTCCTGGGTGCGGGGCTGCTGCAGGAGAGGCTGGGGGAGCTCCTGGGGTGTGGGGTAAGGGGGCGGTGGGGACACATGGGCTTGAGCTTCTGTTGGCAGGAAAGAGAGCGGGCTTCGATCGGAAGACACCATCTGTAACGAACAAAGCCACTAATCAGCGTGGCTTCTGAGCTTCTAGTGGTTAAGTCCTTTAAGATTAGGAAAAGCCTGAGCTCTTCCTCACCATGGTATCCTCTGCGATGCTCTGAGAAGCCTCTTTCTCCTCCTTCAAAGCATATCTCAAATCTCACTTCCCCATAAAGTATTTCCCATTCAATGACAATTTCGATTGTCTTAAACCACAAAAACAAAACAAAACAAAAAACAGCCAATTTCACAAATTTCCTTGCAGTTTTCTCAGTGAAAATCATGTTTTTTTTTTTTAAAGCCATAACTTCTGGTTAAAGATGGGAGACTGAAAAAAGCACTTACTCTGCCGTCTCCCAAAATTCTACTAAAAACACTAAGATAACATTAAATAACAATAAAAATTAAGAAACAACACTAAAAAAACCACGAAGACAAAGATAAACGGAGAGAAGAAAATGGTAACAAAATATGGAAAATGAAAAGCAGATGGGGGGGATGGCCCCATGGCCTAGTGGTAAAGTTTGTGCGCTCTGCTGCAGGCGGCCCAGTGTTTTGTTGGTTTGAATCCTGGGTGCGGACATGGCACTGCTCATCAAACCACGCTGAGGCAGCGTCCTGCATGCCACAACTAGACAGACCCACAACGAAGAATATACAACTATGTACCGGGGGGATTTGCGGAGAAAAAGGAAAAAAATAAAATCTTAAAAAAAAAAAAAAACAGAAAAGCAGATGGACAAGTAGCAACTGTCTTAGCAGAGCTGAGAAAGCCAAATGCTAAGCTAGTAGCAGGGAAAAACCAAGAGGCAATGGGATTTGCAGCACAGCGGCCCTTAAGGGTCTGGAACCAGGACTGTGGGAGCAGCAGGGGAAGCCAGAGCCAGAGCCAGGGGGACCTCAGCAAAGTGGAGGTGAGCCGCAAGCAGGCTCTGGAGCCCTGCCTGCCAGGGGACCGGAGGGGTGTCCTCTGCTGGGAGCACCACTGAGGGTCTCGGGACAGGGGATACCAGACCCTGGAAGGCGGCACTCACGTGAAACCCAGGGTTTATGAGAAAGCTCACCTCCGAATCTTGAGCCCTCCACCCTTCTTTCCCAACTCGGCTCTCAGAATGCTGGTGTCCAGGCATACACCCAGGTGCATGATTAGGAGAAGTGTCCTTCAGGCACCTGATAAGCCTGAGAGAAAATCCTAAAACTTACAACATCAGAGGTTCCCCAAGGAAATGGCCGAGCCAGATGACTCAACAATGAAGACCACACTCAACAAGCCCAGCCATCTACACAGAGCTCCCAATCAGGTTGTTTGTGACTGTTCTTAACTACGAGCAGGGCACCAAGGATCAGAGGACTATGAGGAAAGCAGCTGAATGAAACTCAGAGACGAAGGCAGACACACTGAGAAGAGAAGCTTAGAGAAATCTAGGCAGGAAGAAGTAGTCAGGAAAAACAAAATTACCATTATAATATTTAGGCTATTAAAGAGCTCCTTATCTGTTAGAAATACCCATTAAAATAGTTGCAATATGTATTTTGATATACATTTTTTAAAAGAAGGGATATGGATGAGACAAGATTACAGAAATGCTAATAACTGTTGAGGCTAGATGATGGGTATAGAAGAATTCCTTATATTATGTTCTCTACTTTTATGCAAGTTGGAAAATTTCTATTACAAAACATAAAAATAAGAGAAACCAGAACAAAAACTACCACTGAAAACCTCAAAGAGATAAAAGATGATATTGCATCCATGGAATAAGTATGATGCTATAAAAATGGAACATTCAGAGAACAAAAAAGAATTGTTGGCAATTTAAAAGTATGAGAGCAGAAATGAAAAACTTAACAAAAGGGTTGGAGGATAAAGTTGAGAAACTCTTCCAGAAAGCAGAGAAAAAAGACAAAGAGAGAGAAAAGAGGCGAAAGAAAAAAATAAGGACATTAGAGGAACAGTCCAGGATGTCCAACATTTGTACAACAAGAGTTCCAGAAAGAGAGAACAGAAAATCAAAGGGAAGAAATCATCAAAGAAATAATTAAGGAAAACTTCCCAGAGATGAAGGATATGAGTTTCCAGAATGAAGAAACCAACCAAATATCCAGACTCATGTCAAGCCACATTATCTGGGAGTTTCATAACACCAGGGACAAAAAGATCCTACAAGTCTCCAGAGGGGAAAAAAGGAGATTTCATTCAAAGGAGTAAGAATTGGAATGCAACTGGATTTCTCAGTAGCAACTCTAGAAACTAAAAGGCAATAGACTAACACCTTCAAAATTTCTGGAGAAAATTATTTCAAATTTGAATTCTATAGCCAATTATTAATTAAACGTTGGGTAGAATAAAGACATATTTAAGGCATGCCAGGTCACACGTACTCATTCTTATAAAGCTACTGGAGAAGTTGTTTCTAAATGTATTGAGAGAGATCTACCCAATTCTGAAGGTTTGGGATTCAATAATTAACACACACATAGAAAACCAGATTAACTTCAAAGTGAGACATTGATTAACTCCCAGGAGAAAAAAACTGTTATTTCAGAGTTTACTATATGGTTCAATGATGACTACACTATTTTAACTATAAAAACACTAAACACTGAGTAGTGCTCTAATCAGAAAAACAAACCACATTGTTGGAGACGAGGAGGGTAAGTAGGAGTGTGTGTGTGTGTGTGTGTGTGTGTGTGTGTGTAGAGGGTTCAAAAGAGTTGAAAGAGAACTGATTCCTAATCTTCCATGTAGGATGCCATTAGATACTGCCTAACACTAAACATCTAGAACAAAGTAAGCATGAAATAGCAGTTACACCCCAGAGATTAGCTAAAGTGGTTGAAAGCAGCCACGTCTAGGCAGAAAGAAATATGGTTAGTGGGAGGGGAAGACAACTGTTATTTCATAACAAGCCCTTTAAAACTATTTGACTTTTTAAACTACGACATGAATAACACTGGGATTTTTAAAAATCTAAACATTAAGCAAATAACAAATGAAAACATCTGAAAGACGACACTCTCTATCCCCACAGTCTCCTTAAAATGTGGCTAGAAATTAAGAGTGTATTCTTTATATCCTATAAAATAATCTTGCAAAATAAAATAAAAGGCAATCCAAGAACACAGAAGAACCATTAAAAGACAATTATGAAATATCCTCTCGTCCTCTCCCGGAAGGGATTACTCATATAATCAAGATCCCGTAGTTAGCGACTGGTGAAGAGTGACTAACAACTGATCTGCTAACTCCTGCTGCTGTGTTCTGACTCCCCCTTGCTAAATCATCACTCATTTACAGCGAAGTGGTGAGTAAACGACGTTATAATGTATCTAGAGAGTGACCAATAGGTTAAAAATATTGATGGTTATGGTAAGGGAACCATCCTAAGGGCTTAGAACAAAGACAAAGCCAGCAAGTTAAAATATGATGTTTCAACTCCTAAATTCCTGTAACAGACTTATGACTTCAAAATGTGCCTCCTTCTAAATAGACCTCTTTGGGTCCTTTTACGGAGCTATGATTTTTATTATACCTAGTATTTCATGAATAATAAAAGTATTGTTTCTCAAATCTATAGTCCTAACTAGGGAGGAGGTCTAAGCCAATATCAGAGCTTCAGGAAGGCTCTAAGTGTCTTCCTCGGTGTTCCCCTGCAGCTTAAAGAACTTAGAGAATCAATTATTGATTTTCCATGCCAATTTAAAAATCCTAACCTGGTGTCCGCTGCTGTCTCAGATATATCTGGATTGCATCCTCTACGCCCTACTCTTTCCCCCAACCCCAACTTTGTGAGTTAGTGATTACAAACTGTCCAATGTTTGCTTAAGAGTAATCTGCTATCGGACCAAGAAATCTGCTACTAGAAATCATTAATGCATTCTGAATTATTCACACTCCTGCTCTCTCTGATTTAACATATAAGTGAGAACTGACTGCACTGGAGACCTCAGGGACCACGCCTGGCGTAACGGACCCTATCCATTTCCCACATGCTTCCGTCTGTTCCACTGTGAGTTTGTGTTTGTTTTTACCTGCGAGGCAGGGTATGGGTTCAGTGGGCTGGTTGAAGAGAGCTGTCTGCTGAAACCTTGAGGTGCTTCAGGGCCAGGAGAAAGTGTGAGAGGGCTGACGGGAGGCTGCCTACGCCGAGAGGGGCCGCTCAGGTTTGTGGTGGGAAGAGAGGGGTTGCTAAGGGAGAAGAGACGGAGTGAAGGGTGAAGAGCAGAGGCACTGGGAGCGGACGTCTGCGGGTGGCGACTTAGGGAAGAGGAAAGCGCCGTCTTGTTGAGCGTGGCCTGGATGGAGGGGTTACTCCGAGAACTCTGGAGACCTGGGAGACAACAAATTCACAAGTTACTTGCTATAATTTCAGAGAGTTTTCCAAAGATGAAAGGAAACTTAACTTCCTACCATCCGTACTGACGATGATTCTGTATGTAAAGGAGCTCCCGGGCAACTTTCCTACTGAGAATGTGTCAGATGGACCAACGCAAGGAAAAGACGAGCTCAGACGGAGAGAGAGACGCCACTGGGACAAGGATGAGTTTCTCTTAAGAGGAGTGAGAGCACGTACACCCCCTGGGAGGGCAGGCCTAGGTAAGCATGGGCTAGTGGAAGCGAAATGTTCGGTGTGCTCAGCTCCAACGCAGAAAAAGACCCCAGGGCTGTACAACAAGTTCTGTTGAGTCCCGAAGGTGTCTGTCCCAGGCACACTGCCCGGGTCCTCTGCTGCCTTTAGAGATGTCCTGTCACTAGGGTCGTGGCTCTGGGGGAGCTGCCTCAGTGGAGCCTTTAAATACCCTGAGCACCCCAGGGAGTCATAGGAACGGACACTCTCACGTCTCCTGCCCCGGGTTCCTTTCTTTTTGTTTTTCCGGCTCCTGAGAAATTGTTCACCACAGTCTATTCCAATTCAGGGAAAATGAAGTTCTTGCTGGCGCTTTGCTTTATTTGTGGGGAGGGTAGTGAATTTTATAGCAGGAGCAAGAGAGTTTGGGAAAGGCATTTCCATGACACAGGCTGCTAGGGCACAGGCTCCATGAGGCCAGGGACCCTGTCCCATGCCCTGCTGGATCCCTGGTGCCTGGCACGGGGCCTGGCACAGAGTGGATTTGCTCTGTGAACAAGGCTGCTGCTGCTGCTGCTGTGTATCTCAACTGGCAATGCCCCTGTTTCAAAGCCCAGCCCATCATTCTTGTCCAGCAGTTGGGGTGAGCAGAACTGTCAGTTGTATCATATTGATGAAAAACTAAGTGTTAGATAAACGTTATGGAAATGAAGAAATGATAAAATAAAGCATTTTTAGTTGGCAAATTATTTTTAAAAGGTAGGAAAGATGTCTCTGATAAAACCCTAACTAGTTAACCCACAACTCAACTCCATGAAAAGGGCAGAGATTCGGCTGGCTCAAATTAGAATCAGAGCTAAAGATCTGAATTTAGATTAAAAAAAAAAAACCACCATTCATTCATTCAGAAAGCTCAAACACTTTAAAAAAATATGTGCAACTTTGTATACCATGCATTTTAAGGAGTCGGTAGAAAGTGTTAAAACTTGACACTGGTTCTGACATGTTCCAGAAAAAATAATGCTTTTTTGAGGAAAGTAACAGCCAGTGATTAAACATGGGATTTTCAGCTGCAGCAAAGTGTCAAAGGCAGCACTGGAGAATGCTAGCTTCCCCAAGACCTGAGGGAGCCAAGTGCCAGTGCTGCTTCACTTATGTGACCTTGGATGTCCCTGTTACAGAGAATTCACCGGGGACACATATATAGCAAAAGGATAATAACATGACCAAAAATAAAGGTTGCCTCTGAAATCAATTCTTCAAATGTAATATTATGTTGCACAATGGCAGCATCGCTGCAACCAATAGGAACCTTCCAGGTGACTACCCCAAAGGGGATCACTCTCATTTGATGGTGAGTTCTGATTTGCATGGACAAGTCTTGCTGAACCCAGAGTGAACCAGCAAGCACTTCCCCTTTAGTCTCTCTCGAAATTGAATGGGAAATTGGAACATCGGTCAGGGTTCAAGTAAACATAGTCATGTTTCAACATGGGGCCCGAGCTGGGGGCACTCAGACTCCTACAGTGACACCAAGACACATTATGGGTAGCATTTTAATACAGCTGTATTCTGCATTTTTAAGCACTTCTGAAAATTTGAACCAGTAATTTTGAACTGTGGTAGATTTGTATTTAATATACATATCCATTAAGCATAAATATTTTCACCGTATCCATTATAAATTTTCTAAAATTTAAAATATTCTCTTTTGAAATCCAATGGGAAATTGCAGGGATCTAGAGAGACACCTGTAATTACAAAATATCACATGTTGACAAGAGCCACTAAACTTGTTCAGCCAAGAGAACAGAATGACACTTTTCTTGACTCTTGAATCTTATTCTCCAAGCCCCAGCACGCATGGGCTAGAGAAGGCGACAGAGAATGAGGTTTAGCAGAGCCGCTCCAGAGCTCATGAAATCCAGCAGACCTAGATCACCAAAGTGAAATGCCAGCAGGGTCAAGAGCTACAAAAACAGGGAGGTTATCATCTCTAACTCAGATGCAGTCACTCTCATTCAGCAATTCACTAACAGGCCACCTGGGCCGAGACCCCCCAGGATCAAGCACCCAGAGGACACGGCACGGTCCTTGCTGAGCGGGGGATACTTACCAGAAGAGCTTCTGAGGCCCAGGTGCGTCATAGCAGCGGGGAGGTTGCCCACACTGTGCCCTACACTCATGCTACCAAAGACGTGGTCACCGGTGTCCAGGGAGGCAGGCAGGGGCGTGGAGTAGTGGAGGTTGGTTAGATCTGGCAATGACCCCCCAGTGTTCAGGGTCCCCAGAAAGGGTGAAAGGCCTATGTTTTGACCGTTGTGTGGAAAAGCGCTGGAAAAAGAAAGGTAAATGTTACTTTCTAAAATGCACTTGGCTGTTGGGGAATAGTACACATATGATACTTTCCTTGTCAAATAAAGCAGTGGGTATCAAGGACCCAAGTCCTCAAACAGGGTCTGACTCTCGCTCATCTGAGAACTTGCGTCCTTGGCTTGACCTCTGTGAAGAGCAATTTCCTGACCTGTTTGACTGGAGTAAGGATGTCATCTATGTCTACTTTACAGGACTATTGCCCAAGACCAGATTAGATTACGGATGCAAAAGAACTTTGAAACTTATAAAGTACTATATAAAATGTGACGCACTGCTTTGTATTTATAAGGTTCTTTTTGCTAGATTTCTAAATTACCTTTCCTCAAAAAAAAAACAGAATCTCTATCAACCAGATAACTTCTAAGATAGAGTTTTTCAGTTACAGTTTTCACAAACTTTAAAGTGAGAAAGAGATGCTACCATTCATTTATCAAAATCTGTTGGTTGGTCACTGTGTGCCAGGCACTAGGCTAAGTACTGCAGTACAACGATCAGGGAGCAAAGTGTGCACATTGGTGGTCAGGCCTGCCCCTAACATCTGCAGGCCTGGAGTGAGAGTGCACATGGAGGCCCATATACCATCTCTTCAAATTTATAAAAGTTATAAATCAGATGAACAAACCTTTAAATGAACCATGTTCTATGTTTCTATCTTGACAAATCATACCTTCCTAAAAGCCTGGAAGGCCAGATGCAAGCTGAGAATTCTCCTGCTCCTTAGAGTTCTGCACCGCAGGGCATACATGTGGCTATTTCAGCCTATAAACCAAGCTCTGGCCGCACTCCGCATCCCTCTTGGCCACCCCTCAGGCAGGTGGTGTCCCCCCTGTGGCCCCTTGGATTCTATACTCCATGGGAGTGGAGGGGCTCAGGGAGGGGCTCCCAGCGCGCGTCTGAGGAGGCACTGCTCTTGGATTCATAGGCAGGCAGGAGACAGACTGGTAAAGCGAGCAACTGCAATATGGAAGGAAACATGCTGGGCCACGTCTGATATGGGGTAGGATAACCATTAGGTACAAGCGACACTGGGAACACAGAAACAAGAGTCGTCAACGTTAGGATGGGCTAGAGAAGAGAAGGCCTTACCAAGGACAGGACAGTGTGTGAAATGGGGTAGCAGGAGATGAGGTGGGAGGGGCAGATAAGTAAGAAAACAAGGGCAAGATGACACGCTGTTCTGAAGAGTCTGGATCAGAGACTGCAGGAAATAGGGAACCCAGGTTGAAGCTAAGAAAACGTCATTTTCTTATGACTATGATTTTGGTTACAGTGTAGAGGACGGCTTAAGGGAACAGAAAAAGAGGCAGGGAGAACCAGTTAGAAGGCCACTGCTGGGCTCCAGGTCTGACTGAGGAAAAGAGCAGTGAGGTTGAAAAGGAGGAGAACGGTTGGAGGAAGGTGCCACTAGCTAGGAACAGGCGGAAGGTGATGAATTAGCTTAAGGATGAATTCATTCTTAGGACAGTGTGGCTAGCAGACTTGGGGGAGGGAGGAGCAGGGTGTAAGGAGCAGAGCCGGGAGGCAGAGAGGTGAGTTATGATGCTGCTGAAAAGTCAAACAAGACACAGTGAAAGCATGGGGATGGGGAGACAGAGAGGAGTCCAGAGATATTTCAGGAAGTACTCAAGAATGACTCCTGATTTTCTGGCACGGGGACCCGTGGAGCCACCCACTAGGAGAGGGAACATGGGCTGCACAAGTAGACTGGGGATAAAAGCAGGTGGTATGGGTAAGATAAATTCTGTTTTAGACGGTGAGTTTCTGTGATGTAGGAAGACATGTAACAGGGATGTCACTTGAGGACAGCTCCATCAGAACAGCAGTGGTGGCCGGCCGGCCACAGCGGCTTGAGGAGTGGACAAGCAGTAAGGAAGGCTCAAGAGTCAATATCCTTTCACAAAGAGTGGCTGAGAATTCTGGACGAGAAGGAAGGAAGTAACTAAAAGGGAATGCAGGGTCAAGGAAGGACTTTTTAGTGAAGAATCCTTAAGTACATTTAAATGCAGAGAGAAAACCTACTAGAGAGGGAAGGTTGAAAATGCAGGAGTGGGAAGGGTAAGCAGGAGAGAGAGGCCTCGGAAAGGCCGGTGGGGACAAGGGCCAGGAATGGGGAAGTGACCGGCCTTGAACAGGAGGGACACACCTGTCTCTGAGACCTGGAAAAAAGGATGGCGAGAGGGGAACTAGGGGCAAGTGGGAAGCTGAGCATCACTCCTGATGGCTTCTCTTCTTGGTGAAAGTCGGAGGACTGTGACACCTGTGGAGGCCTGACAAGAAACGGGAGTTGGGAAAGGTGGCCAACTGGATGGATGAGGAGGAAGGATGATTTTGGTTGTAGAAAAGCTGAATTGGGTATCTTGTCTTTCAGATGGCTAGACGTAGCAAACTGGTTATAGGGTTCAAGGTCAAGGACTAGAAAAATAAACTGGAGAACCCAGAGCTGCTCACTCAGAGAATAGATGAGCTCTGACTGAGAGAAGAAAGACCCACGGGCAATCAGGTGGGAGTGAAGGCAGAGGGAGGAAGGCAGAAGGCAGAAACAAGTGCGCAGTGGCACAGAGCAAGGATGCAGAGTGAGAAACTGTGACCGATGTGAACAAGGTCTTTACTGATGCTCAAAACAAAATCTCTCCGATGAGAGAAATAGAAGTTGTAACTTTCCAAATATAGTGACTACCTGCTGGAGTCACCTTTTGGATCTGATATAAGGCAGGTGATGCTCTCCCTGGTTTGAAACCCTTTGATGATTCTTATCTTACCCTAGTCAGATCTAAGCTACCTCAGCCTCCTTGCTCTGCAGGTACACTGCTGTCTCAGGATCTTTGTACTTGCCGTCCCTCTGCCTGGAGCCCTCCTCCCCTTCACTTCGTTCCAGGCTCTGGTCACATATCACCTTATCAGAGGACCTTCCCTGACACCCATCAGTGCCCCTCTCTGTACTTTGCCTCTTTTTCTTCATTCTATTTGCCAACACGTGACATACAGTACATTTACGTGCTTCATTGTTTTTGCCCATCTTGCTCCACTGGAGCCTTAAGCCCTTGAAAGCAGGGACTTGACCTGGTTCGTCCATTGCTCTACTCCAGTGCTGAGAATTAGGGGTTCAATAAATACTTGAACGAATAGCAGTCACTGAATGGAATTCTACCTCTAACGTAAGAGCAAGAAACCGACTACCTAAGAAATACCTGCTGTAAAACTTGGCGGGTGGGAAGGGGTTAAAGTGCTGCAGCCTGACTCTGTAACGCAGGCCTCCCAAGCCCGCCTGGGTCACTCATTGTCTGAGGGCTGAGCCAAAACTGGTTCTTGAGGAAAACCTTGGCCCTGTCTATGGGGACATCCTACACCCCCAGGAGTGCTGGTCTTCTGTCCAGGTGGGAGTCCTGGCAGGCTCTGTGACTTTCTGAAAAGAAGGTCAGCCTCACCTCGGCTCAGTGGGCTGTTAATTACATCAGTTTATATTTAATCAGCCGAGAAGAATGTCTGCACTCTAGGTACTCAATAGTGAGGGCCTGAACTCACTGCTGGCAAATACTCATAGAAAGCTCTACTGGGGGAACCAGAGTTTATGGATTGTCCGAAATAGGGTTAGTTCATCCACAGACCCTCTAAAACCTGTGCTTCTTCTCAGCTAGATCATGCAAAGGTCCCATTTTCAAACCACATTATTTTGGCCCTGGGAAGAGGTGCTGTTTCTGAGCTGGTTTTGGTTCCAAGCCATGGGACAGCACGGAGGGACGCTGTGATAAATAGCCCCACGCAGCTCCCTTGGTGCTCTCTCAGGACACTGCCCATCAAGTCCCAAGGGGCGGTCCTCTGTGTGAAGACCTGTGGGAGAGAGTTCTTCCAGCCGGTCACAGCATCAGGGAGCCGCTGCTCCTCCCCTGCAACTGCCTGTATGCATCACTTAACTCGTCTTCTGATGGGTTTCCTCTGCTTCATCTGTTAATGTGTGGGCTTCATTACCTCTCTCATCTTCTCGTTCTTCCTTAGTCCCAATTTCCTCATGATCCTCTTTACTAATTTTTTGTACTATATGTATTTTTGTCAACTGTCTCAAATCTTTTAGGAAGTAAAGTTGTATAATACTAAATACATTAATTAATAAATGGCTTCATAGAAACTTTTTATATTGCAAATTTTCCTATTCACTCATCTTCCATTAATTTTGAACATTGTGGTAAAATATACATAGAATAAAATTTATCCCTTTTGGGGCCGGCCCAGAGGCGCAGCGGTTACGTTTGAACTTTCCACTTCAGCAGCCTGGGGTTCGCCAGTTCGGATCCCAGGTGCAGACATGGCACTGCTTGGCAAGCCATGCTGTGGTAGGCATCCCACATAAAAAATAGAGGACGATGGGCATGGATGTTAGCTCAGGGCCAGTCTTCCTCAGCAAAAAGAGCAAGACCGGCAGAAGATGTTAGCTCAGGGCTAATCTTCCTCAAAAAAAAATTTATCCCTGTTAAGTGTACAGTTCTGAGGCCTTAAGTACATTCACGGAAACTCTCTTAATTAACTTCCACGTAAGCAAGTTGCCAGGTGCCCAGAGCCTGCCAAAGGCATGAGGCTGGTGGGTGCTCTAGAAGCCCTCTCCCTTCTGCTTCTGCCAGTCCAGCTGTGTGTTTACCAAGAGTCAGTGGTGTTATTCTGAAACATATTTACGGCGGTTTTATTTGTTATTACAGTTATGTAATTTAATTACTTTAAACAAATGAAGTATGAGTACCAAAACAGAGCTGCTGTTTTTATGAAAATTCAGTTGACTTTCAATTTATACATAACAAGTGAAGTTTCCCAGATTCTGTAACAAAGTAGTAAGACTTTCCTTTTGGGAAAAGCTGAAGGACAGTCTCTGAGCCACGAACAAAAGAACATTACTTACTTGCCACCTCCAACATCACAGGATCGAGGGCGCCCTGACAGGGACTGCATCTGGGGAGAGACAGAAAGCTGGGCTTACATTGTGAAGCCAAATTCAAATTTTCAAAAAGTGTCTTTCTAAGTATCTTGGGCTCCAGTTAGAACAAGTGAAAGCAGCCCATACAAACAGCATCCTCGCACAGCAGCCATTTAAGTTTTGACCAGACTTTTCTAGGCATAAGGGTAGCATAACATTAATAAATTTTCTTAATTTGATGCTTTCTTAATTTATCTTCTAGATGAATATTATTTCCTTCAAAAAGGCCAAGGTTTTCCATATAGAGCTTTTAAATAAACATTCCTTTTCCAATTGGCCTGAGAGGAAAAGAAGAAAACAGAAAAACAAAACAGGGTGAAGAAAGAGGAAATTAAAGTCAGAAGAAAATAAATATTTCAATTAGAAAACAGGCTCCAGGGTGCAGGAATTCTTACTTTTTTTTTTTTTAAAAGATTTTACTTTTTCCTTTTTATCCCCAAAGCCCCCCGGTGCATAGTTGTATATTCTTCGTTGTGGGTCCTTCTAGTTGTGGCATGCGGGACACCGCCTCAGCGTGGCCTGATGAGCAGTGCCATGTCCGTGCCCAGGATTCGAACCAATGAAACACTGGGCCGCCTGCAGCAGAGCATGGGAATTTAACCACTCGGCCACGGGGCCAGCCCCTTATTTTTTCTTTATTGCAGTATCTCTGCACCTGGAATGCCTGGCAATAAGTGCTCAATGAATGTATGTTGAAAAAAATGAAGGAACCTATTGGCTGAGCTGGTCTCCCCGAAATGATCTGTGGAGGACTGCAGACCCACGAGAACTGAGGGAGGGGCTCCTCTTCCCAGGGAGCAGTCCCTGGCATGCAGGGAAGAGTGGGCACTTCTGCCCTCTTCGCCGGAGACAGAGCTGTCCTCTGACATAAGTCCCTAAAACCACTGTGCCTCCCACAGTGCGGCTGCTCCTCCTATGTTTAAGAACGGGAACTTTACATCATATCTCTTTTCTTCCCCCAAAAGATCAAACATCAAATACTTCTTGCTTTTACAAAAGACCCTTCAAGCCCATCCTAATGCTAATGATGACTTTGGCAGACCTGGCAGAAGGAAGTGGAACCGGACCACAGGAAGCCTAAACAGGCGGGGACAGTTAGGAACGGAGACAACACAAGCAACTGCAGCAGAGCATCACTAAGGGCTGCGACACATGAACTCTTTTCCGTCAAAGGCAACACAGCTTGCCTCTGGGAAGAAAGGCCAACTCAGGCACCGTGCGGCTCACAGAGAGAGCCATGGGGGAGGTCAGTGAGTGCAATGTGGACACAAACACTCAACGCCTCACGGGAACCACAGAAGACTTGCCTACTGACTCCTGGTGGACTCAGGTCAAATGCTCTTGATTAAAAAAAAGGAATATCTGGTGAACCAGCAATTCTAGACAGGAGTTGTGACTGGTAGAAGGTGTTAGCTACAAAACAGAAAAGCCTGCCTATGACATTACCAGATTTCTGTGCTTTTAGTAATATGAATGAAATATGAGGGACTAACAGGTTTTTCTCAATGAGTAAATTCACATGAAACTGAAGAAGTCAAGAGATCACTGCACTAATCCATCAACACAATTGTGATAATTTTTATTTGAACCATCATTCCCTAGTACATTCTTCCTATCTTTGTCCCCAGACATCCTCTCTTCCTCTTTCCCCAAATCCTCTTGTTTTCTCCTCTGCAGGATTTTACAATGACCTCTGAAACGCAAACAGTCAGGGACAACAAACATAGCTGAGCGCTCTTCACCCACCTCCTTGGTCTCCCACAGCTGTTTTGGCAGTGGCTTGGGAACATTTAACAGATTCTCTTCTTTCAATGGGCCAGGGAAAGACACAACTAAAGGGGGAGAAAAAAAGCATCACATTCATTGCATGAGAAGGCAGCCATCCCATCTCTGGCCAAACAAATTATCTTTATAAAAAAAAAGATTGATTTCACAAATATTTATTGACTGTCTACTGGGGAAGGTGTTCGGGCATGACTGTGGGGCTGCATAGACAAGCAGGACATGGATTAGGCCTTTAAGGAATTTATAATCTAGTCAAGGGAAAAGGATAACACATACACACCCACGACTGAGAGGAGAAACGAGTGGAGGCCCACGAGAGCAAAGGCTGCTGTGCTGCTGAAGTGCCGACAAGGAAGAGACCATGGCAGGCCTCTGGAGCTGGCACTGAGAGAAGCCCTTGAGAGGCACAGAAAAGGCATTCCAGAGAGGGGAAAGTAAGAAAAAAGGCCCAGCGAGAGGGCAGATGGTGACAACCATTGAGTAGAGCCGCTCTTTTCAACTGGAACGTAGGGAAGTAAAGAAGAGCGGTAGGAAATAAAGTTTGGAAGGCTGAGGCCAGATCAGGGTGGACCCGCAAACTTGGCAAGGAGAGAATGGAAGAAGAGGGATGAGGAGAGACCCATGATCTAGGAGAGACGAAATATCTCTAATGTCTCTAATCTAGGAGAGATGAAACGAGGAAAGCAGCGAAGAGAGAAGAGGACATTATAAGGGAAGACATGGTGGCAGTGAAGCTCCTTGGAAATGGGCTGGGAGTGGGGGATAAAGAGGAATCGAGAACCCAGATGATTTGAGGCTGGGCAGCTAAAGGGACCCACACTGGCCCTTCAATGCTGTGAAACAACCTGGCTCTGTTCCCAGGGATGGTTCCGGCGCTTTCTGCTTTAACACTCTCACTCACACCAGGTAAAACAGGAGTGCTGAGTCATAAAAAAAGGGAAAACGTTTTGTTCTCAGAGGGAGACCAGAAAAGGTCCAGCCCTCAGGAATTGAGGCATCTGAAGTCAGGAAGGGGATTCAACATTACAGACACTGGTGACTTCTTAGAGCTACAAACACTGTTAGGTTCTGGTGACCACGTAAGCTCCAGTGTGTCGTGATTGTCCTGTCTTAGTGCCACCCAGGATAACCTGTTTATCCAAGGATAGCAGACCCTAGAAAAAAGTCACTTAGAGACCACAATTTCAGAGCAAATTCTGCGCCTGATGTGATGCTCTTTACAGTTAGCCTGCTCGGTACCATCACACAGCAGGCGTCTACGCTCACGTATTCCAGGGCTCATCAGTGTTCCCAGCTCTCTCAATCCTGATAGTCACATCGCTCTCTTTTGGAAAGCTTATTTTGTCAATATCCTTGTTTGACTTCCTTTCCTTCAAATGCTACCTTGTCTAATTGTTAATACATATAAACTGCTTCAGAAATTAACTCCGGGAGGGAGGGCCTTTATTTTATTCGCTGCTGGGAAGTGCTTAAAACAGTGCCTGGCACACATGGCCCCACAGCTGGCTCTCAGCAGACTGGAGGACAGGGACGATGGCTTTGACAGCCTTCACACAGCAACACAGAGAGTCAGGAACAGAAAATTGCTCTGAAAGGTACTGTTGGATGATAGGAAAAGTTTCAAGGGCTGAGAGAGGTGGCTCTGTGACCCGAGGCTGCCTCTCATACGAGTCTGGTCACAGGAAGATGGCTGGGGCCGATCCTAATGCCTTAAAGGGTACCGTTTCCTTAGAGACGTTCATTGTTTTTAGTCTCTTTTCACATCCAAGACTGGTTGGGAATTCTTCAAAGAATTCACTGGCGGAATGCAAACAACCTTGAAGCCATTTCTTTATTTCTGTCCTAGTGGATTAGATATTTACTGATGTTTCAGCTTTTCAAGATTTTATTCCTGCCCAGGAAAGGAGTATACAGGATGATGACAGGGAATTGTGCCCTGGGACAAGATGTTCCTCATTTACATATTCCCTGTGAGTCCTCATCTCTGAGATATATAAACCTAATTTAGTTGTTCACTTTCAGACTATGAAAATTAAATTTCAGATTATAAAGATTTCAGGAAAAGGAAACAGTGCCTGATACTGAATGATTAAATGAACTGTGTCAGACCCTCATTTGTCAATGGCTTTGAGTGTCATTTCAGTAGATCTCCAACATTACTTCATTAGCTTTATGAAACTCCTCTACAAGTTTTGCAATTTCATTTTGCAATTAATTTGCATTTTCCTCAAACTGTTTATTTATATCTGTCAATTACTGACTCACAAAACTTTCTAAACTGGCAAAGAGATATCTGAGGAAGGAAGGATACTGGAATAACTGATGGGTTAAGTGACCAACTCATTAATATTTTCATGTTATTACAACTTTTGCTTCTCCACATAGCCTTGTGACTGTGACTGTGGGACTCCAATGATGAGGAGCCTTGTAATCTAACCACATGCTTTCTTTCTCATGGCCTTGATCATGGCTAGCCTTAATTTTATAGAGCAGCTCAGGAAAGTAAACCAATCAGCAGTTGGCAGCATTTGGGGAAGTCCTAAAAACACGAGTATTAACTAGTTCAGAGACTGAAAGAAGGTATGTACACTGCAGTCAGTATTCCACTCGGCACAGGCAGGCGAAATCAGTTCATACCTTCCCCGTGTGCGTCATTCTCACCATCACAGAAACCTAGTGGGAAAGAAAAAAACACTTTTATGTGGTGCTTTCATGTTTATTTATTCATGAATTAGTAACTCTTTCTGATTTAAAAGTCCATGTTGTATACTGTTATATATCTTTTTGCAAACAGTCAAGTTATTTTAAAAAGAAATTTATCTGGAGTCTCAGTCAATTTAAATTATATACATGAATAGCTATTCAAGAAGTTTTAAAAATTTGACCTGGAATAAATTGTGGCTGAATGAAGTATTTTTCACCTTAAAAATATATTACAGATGCCAAGCATTGTATATCCTATTGCTCTAAGCTAAAACCAGAGAATTATGCCAAGAATATAGCATGTTAGCATTCTCCTGGGAGCAATCAAATATATCAAATGAGCTTTCAGTATAAAATCAGGACAAATTTTCAAATGTAGCTTATTTAAAGTTTAGATACATTTCTGGATAAGCTTAATCTATAAGTTTAACCTTATTAGTCTACAATCATTCATTCAACATATATTAACTAAGTTCCTGCACTGAGTAAGTGCTAGGGGTGGTCAGGCGATGCTGTGTGGGAGAGACGACAGAGCAGGGCAGCACCTTCTAGAACGCAGGTGGAAGAGACCAGACTGCAGTGGAGCCCAGGAGTCGGGCAACACGGGGAATCCCCAGGAGCACTAGGAGGCGGGTAAATCAAGCACGTTCCTAAAGACAGAATTTCTTTCAGGCCTACGGAAAGAAAATCTAAGTGATTTAAAACTGTGTATTAGTGCACATAAAGACCACTTGGGTTAGCTTGTTAAAATGCAGGTTCATGGGCCCAAATCTCAAAGATTTTGATTCAGAAGGTGTGAGAATGGGCCCAGGAATCTGCATTTTTCATAACCGCCTCAGAGGACTCTACTACAGAAGGTTTCTCACTCTTGGAGAAACTTGGACCAGGCAATAGCTTAATCATGATTTTAACACGTCTAAAGAAAGGGAATGTGAGCAGAAGAACACCAGAAAACGAGGTGCAGAGAGACAGAAGGTGTGGCTCTGCAATGGCACTGTCAAGAGGAGAGGAAAAGCAGCTTCTGATGCATATTGTGGTGTCCCTAGGACCTCATGTTGGAAAAGGGCAGGGAACCTGACCATTCTGATCACTAAAAAGTGATTACCCTATTACAAATAAAAAACCAAGTTTTATACAGCCCTCTGGTATGGTTTGTTGAAGCATCTCTTCATCGTCGAGATACCAATCCCTCTGGGTTTAATGAGAAAGGCCAGTTTTCAGTTCAAAGCAAGACTGATCTGTCCCTGGAGCATAAGAACTCACCTGAGGACTACCGTGTGAAACCGCCTGAGTGGTGAGCAGCTACCCCACAAGATACCCCATTAGTGCCACCCTCTCCATCAGACTGGAACAGAACGAAGGCTTCATGGAGGAGATGGCACTGAAGGATAATGATGAGGACTAGAACTCCAGGACTAGAACTCTGGCCTGCGTGCCTTCAGAATGTCCATACTGCTGTACCTGGAGCGATTTAGACCCTTGGGAGTGAGGCTGAAGGGGATGCCCCAGTGCAAAGAGAGGGGGAGTGGGAGGAGGGTGTGTACAGCAGGGGCAGAGAACGGTGTGGTCTGGCTGGAGCACAAGACAGGAGGAAGGAATGGGAGGTGAGGCTGGACTGAAGGAGGCTGCCAGAAACTTGGCATGATGTCAGGAACAGGAGGTTTCAGTTAGAGAAGTGACATGATTACAGCTAAGCTTTGGAGAGCATGTTCGTGCAGCAAAGAATGAGATGGATTGCAAGGAGAAAGCCTACAAGCAGCAGGACCAGGTAGGAAACCAACATAATAGGGTACTGGCAATGAGGATAGAAAAGAGGAGGCAGGATAGAAAATTTGAGGCACCCTGAAGGAATCGAATGAACAGGACTGGGCTACAGAACAGGTGTGACGGGCACGGGAATGAGAGTAGTTACAGACGACTCCCAGGTTCTGAGTTCTGGTGACCAGAAGAATGGTGGTGGTGGTAACTGATATGTTAGGCCCGAGCTAACATGTAACCAAAAGATTCAAGCCTCGATTTTTACTACTGGATAAAAAGCATCATAGGATACGACTATGAATGAAGGGTTAAAAACAAAAAGGAACAAGTTGTGACATGGTATCTGGAAACAGAAAAAATTCATTCGCATCAGTCCTGCAGGGGATGGGACAGCAATGACCAAGGCTGCCTCTGTGTTCCAGTAAATCTCTGGGTCTCGCAGCCCCAGAGGGCTGACTTCCCGTACAACACAGTTCTGAAAGAACTCCCAGCACAGTCTTGATTTGCTCAGTAGACGGGTGCCAGAGGTAGATCCCTTAAGCACAGCACGTCCTTTAAGAACCCTCTGATGCTTCAGCCTCCCCATTCTGGGCCCTCCTGCCTCCTGGGTGACACCTTTTGCCTCTCTTTAGGTCTGGGGTGCTTGTGCCCTTCGCCTCTCCCTCCTATCTGTGCAATTAAGGGTCACTAAGAGGCTCACTACTTTTGTCGCTATTTGCATTTTAAACTTTCTCCTTAACTATGAAGGGGAGAGCTAACAAAAAGTGTTGAATGATCTGTTGAAAGGTCATTGAGGTCCAGGCACACCGCTTTCCCAGAGGAGGAGCTCAGGGCTGTCCTTCCCAAAGCTGGCAACAGTCAGCATCTCCAGCTCTCATGCACTCTTCTGCCCTGAGCTCTAGACTGCTCCCTGAAAGGATACGGATGCCCCAGACTCCTCCTCCACAGGCAGGCGATGAGCGCAGGGGAGTCAGGAGACAGTCTTGGGCTACGGGACAGGTCAAGTGTCACAGAGAGCCCCTTAGACTTGCCCGGCTGTGTGTGTGTGAAATGATCAACATTTCTCTTTATAGATTCTGGATAATTAAACAAGAAGAGAGAAATTATAAAAATCTTGTTTGGTTGAATAAAAGTTTATTTCTGTCATTCATATCAACTGCTTACCATTTATGCCTAATTGTCATGCAACTCAATAAATATTATGAAAATTACTAAGCATGTATCAGATTAATGGCTTTATTTTCTTGAGACACAAACCTCTACTCATGAATGTATCATCGTTTATTGCTCATGTAGTTAGGCTATGAGCAGATGCTCTCTTATCATCCGCTCACAACCAAAAAAATAAACAAACAGTGGGAACATTAATTGAGGCTACATCATTATGCTCAGGGACGATTCCCAGGAAAAGAGTAGTTATTATTGCTTCTGCTAGGGAACCCAATTCTGGGTTTCAATTTTCCCATCACTTTTTTAATCTTGACTTTATTTGGTTGGTCCTATAATAAGAAATACCTTTTTGCAAAGCTAGTTGATATTTTTAAAATCCAAGAGGAAAGAAAATAAAAAATTTTAATGAATTACAGGGGAAAATACATGAAACTATTTAAAATAGCTCTCACCAACAAATATAATTCTCCAGAAATAATTCCTATCCTTGGAGACTTGAATAATATTTTAAACACACTGGCTTTCCCATGTAAACACATCCATATTTGGATGTGTTTCTGAGTTCTGCTATACTTGCAGGGCAACTATGCAGACGCAGGCACACAGTTCAGACATTCGGGCTGGAGGTCAGCCCACCTTCCATGGTTGTCAGATACTGTGGCCCAACAATTTCTAACTGCTGATTTGAAAAGGAGTGACCACCATGATTCTCCAGTCCACCCAGGAACTCTGCTCCAGGATTTCTTTCTTTCTTTCTTTCTTTCTGCTTTTCTTAGGGCTCTGCCTACCAGGACCAACAATTGCACCCTTTGCCTTCCTTATTCATCCTTACTCACACTTTCTGCCTTTCTCCCCTCCTCCCTCAGAGCCTACATCACTCAGCATAAACACTTCACTCAATTAATCACTTTTATAGTTACTTTCTTTTCTCTCTGCATGGAGACCTCAAAACCTCCTTACTTAAATTATCCATGATTTCCTTGCTCTCTCTAGGCCTCTGTCCCTTTCCAGAGAAGCATAAACTCTGCACAGACAGCACACAAATGGAGGAATGGCAGAGGCAGAAATGCAGCTCTTGGGGCTGGCCCGGTGGCGCAGTGGTTAAGTGTGCATGTTCTCCTTCTCGGCGGCCCGGGGTTGGCCGGTTCAGATCCCCGGTGTGGACATGGCACTGCTCATCAAGTCATGTTGTGGTAGGCATCCCACATATAAAGTGGAGAAAGATGGGCACGCATGTTAGCTCAGGGCCAGTCTTCCTCAGCAAAAAGAGGAGGATTGGCAGCAGATGTTAGCTCAGAGCTAATCTTCCTCAAAAAAAAAAAAAAAGAGAGAAAAGAAATGCAGCTCTTTATTTGAGGTTACAGGGTAAAAACTTATCAGTCTGGTCCCCTCCCAGTCCAGGGAGACTCAGATCCTGCTGCACTCACCAGGGAGACCCACCGATCCCAGTCTCTGCTTTTTTAGGCTTTATTTATTTATTTTTTTAAAGATTTTATTTTTTCCTTTTTCTCCCCAAAGCCCCCCGGTACACAGTTGTGTATTCTTTGTTGTGGGTTCTTCTAGTTGTGGCATGTGGGACGCTGCCTCAGCGTGGTCTGATGAGCAGTGCCATGTCCGCGCCCAGGATTCGAACTGACGAAACACTGGGCCGCCTGCAGCGGAGCGCGCGAACTTAACCACTCGGCCACGGGGCCAGCCCCTTTTAGGCTTTATTTTTATATTTTCATCTCTACCTATCATGAAGCTAAACTACTCTGTCTTCCTATATATCCCACATCTCTAAGCAGTGAGCAGTGGACCCATATCCAATTCCAAAAACATTGCCAGCTTTACTCTCATATTCCCATGAGTGAAAACACAGCTAGAGAGCCCTCGCCAATTCTAAAAGATCTCATACTTTACAATCAAACAACTGTTTAGGCAAACGTAGTCATCTCTGAACTGCACCAAGGGAACAAATACAGTGACAATTACTCTTAAATCTCATTCCTACTATATGCAAGGAAACAAGACCTGGAATGTTCTCCTCAAAAGGAACAGCGACTACGTAGGCTTTCAACTGTCTAAAAACTAAAGAAAACCAGAGAAGCTGGTATTATCTTGGTGAAAGATTTACTTATTCCTGTTTCAAGATCAAACACACAGCCCTAACTGTTTGAGGACAAGAGTCAACGTGCATATGGAATGGGTAATTCAAGACCATTGTTCCCAGCAGATTATAAACCCCAGAAAGGCAGGCTTGGAACATGTCTTAGTGAACCAGCCTTGTTTCACATGCAGGTGAGATGTGAGCCCAACAGTATGTTTTAGCAAGAGCTCTATACACTTAAGGCATTCTGTAACTTCTCCACACTTCTCCATCATTGAGGGCTCTTCTGTGCCAGGCCCTGAGCTAGAGATAAGGCCATTAAAATGCGACTTCAAGAAATCTACACTGAGCAGGAGAGAAGCACATCCATGAAAAAGGCAGTCAAGTGACACAGGTGCCAAGACAGCCATCTACATGTAGGAGCTTTTGGATCTTAGAAGGACACAGGTAGTTCTGGGATGGCAAAGAGAGGAAGGTCAAGGATGGCTCCACAGGAATGGTGACAAAGCTGAAGTAGCCGGTCAGGTAGGCCAGGAGTGAGTTAAGAAAGGAAGAGTTGGGAAAAGGATGAAATGTTAGTAGAACCCAAAGTGGTTCACATGGCTGACTCGGAATAAGGCTGATGAGTGAGGAGAGAGGGGAGAGAGGTGGGCAAGGGCTGGATCCTGGAGCTCCTGTCGTTCCCAATCGGGAGATCTGGACTCTCTCCTGGAGGTAAGGGGGTGGTGATAAGGATTTTAAGCAGGAGAGTCATATGATCAGATCTGGGTTCACTCTGGAAGCGGATGGTGTGAATATGCCTTTTCCCCATCCTGGTCACTGTGGCCTCTCTCCACCCTGTGACTCATTCTGGCCCAAGGGAGGTGGAACACTGATCCGACAGGTAGAATGGGGAACAGCTGAGCAGGCAAGGCCGGGCTCTGGCTCAGCTGCTGCTTCTCCTGCTCAGGAGCGTGCCTTTCCTCAGAGAGCGTGCCTTCTCTGCTTGGCCCTGCCCTTGAGTCTGTCCTCAGTACTTCTCCCATGGGAGGCCACCCTGAGCCAGTGCTGCTGGCCACAGGGGGAGTCGGCCTCATTCTGGGGTTCAGTCATAATAGGCCACTGACCCACAGAGAGAAGCCACTTCCTCTTGGCAGTAATAAAGGTGATACTGAGCTCCATCTGTCACTTCTGGTTTGATTTCTCAGTTTGCTCAGATCCTGGATGGGAAAAGAGGACCTTCAGAGAACCCAACATACAACTGGATTAGAAGGATATAAGACCAGAAACAAGGAGCCCAGTTAGAAAATTACTGTGAGTCCAAGTAAAATATGAGGGCCTAGGGGCCGGCCCAGTGGCGCAGAGGTTAAGTAAGCACGTTCCGCTTTGGCGGCCCAGGGTTTGCCGGTTCAGATCCTAGGTGTGGACATGGCACTGCTTGGCAAGCCATGCTGTGGTAGGCATCCCACATATAAAGTAGAGGAAGATGGGCATGGATGTTAGCTCAGGGCCAGTCTTCATCAGCAAAAAGAGGAGGATTGGCAGCAGATGTTAGCTCAGCGCTAATCTTCCTCAAAAAAAAAAAAAAAAAAAAGAGGGCCTAAAAAAGGGACAGTGTGGTGGGGGAGGAGAGGAAGCTTGAGGGCCAAGAGATGCCAAGAAGGGAGAATCTGCAGTGGAAGAGGCAGGAGAAAATCACATGACGTCAAGAGCTCCGTTCTCCTTTTACCATGAACACACACACATCCCCTGCTGGGAGCTTTTTCTCCGACAGCTGTCAAACTGGGGAAGTGCATGCGCCACTTAAGCTTTTCTCCCTCTTGGTTCCAATAGGACAGAATGAGAAAGCACAGACCCTGTTAGCAGTGGGCCTGTGTGTCTTACCCATGTATGGGGCAGGCCAGGCCGACTGGGCCCCTCCTCCATAGGGGTCCTGGGGCTTGGTGCTCAGAGCACTTGTGTGAAGAGCAGAATCAGAATTGGTCCTAAGGGGAGGAGGAGAGAGTCTGGCTGAAAATCCATTTTTCCTTAGTGAAAATGCAATATTCTTTGCTGAAAATTACCAACAGGAAAGAAGGCAAGAATAACTGATTTACAATCATTCATAAAATGAGGGCTTTGGACCTACCTGAAGTCCCTCACATCAGTAACAGCCTCTGAGGATCACCCGCACCCAAAAAGATTTTAATTTGTACTTGTATAGTCTTACACTTTGAAGCTAATGGCATAATCATCTGTTTCAAGAAGGCAGACCTCGGATTCCTGGCTTCCTCTAACTAACTTTCTTTTCTTCCTCACAACTCAGAAGATCACCGTGACCAGTATATTCTCCATGGCTGCACTAGATTCTTCTCCACCTGAGATAACTCCTCCTATATGAAGGATCACCCATAGCCATGGCTCTCAAACCCTTCCAGGGAGAATGCAAGGTCAAGGTCTTTGTCCTTTCACCCTCCTTCCCTCATGAACACAGCAGGGTCTTCCAGCAGCTGCGTGATGTGTGATGGCACCACAGACTGAGCACATAAGCAGAGAAGCCAGCCATCTTCAAGAGATTTGTAAGAAGTACAACGATGCCACTCTTCTCAGTAAACTGTTTTGTTTTAGAAAATAAACTGTGCTTCCTAAAAAAGATATTATTTATGTTGACATGTACTGAGTTTACTATCGTCATTTTGTTATTTTTAAATGCATTAATTAGTATCTTTCATAAGTCTCTCAATTTAATTTCCAATATCAAGAGAAAATATCAATAGATACACTCACATAAACAAACACTCTTTGAGGGCCTCAATGGTTTTTAAGATTATAAAGGAGTCCCAGGACAAAAAGTCTGGGAACTGCTGATCTCTAGCAAATTTCTCAAATTCTCCCAGATAGCTCCAATTTATACACAGCTTTGACTCCAAGAGATGATTACTTCTCTCATCCAAGGGTCAAACTGTCTGCCATAAAGACAACTTGTGAGCGACTTCAAATTAGCCTAAAATTCTTCTTTGTGCCAGCCTGGGGGCCTGCCTGAGTGCAGTGGCTGTGTTGTATTCAGATGTGGGAAGAGGCAATTCAAAACCTTCCTGATGCAACAGGAAGAGTGTAGACTCTGGGATCAAAGAGCGCTGAGTTCAGATTCCTGCTCCTTTATAAGATTCAAAGAGGTTCAAAAGAATATCAATCAAACGCAGAGAGACAACTGGGAAAATTTGAATATGGACTGGGTAGTAGATAACAGTAAGGAATTACTGTTAATTTTGTTAAATGTAATAATGGCACGTGGTTATGTTTTTTTAAAAAAAGGTTCTGATCAGTACACTGTTAGAGGTATTTACAGGTGAAATACTGTATCTAGCCAGAGGTGGAATGGGGCTGGGAGGCGGGGGGGGGGGGGGGGGGGGGGGGGGGGCAAAAAAAAAAAAAAATTGGAAAAAGGGGGGAAAGGTGAAACCTAAAGAAGGGCCCCCGGAATTTAAAACCCTTTTCCCTTTTGGGGGGTTTAAAATTTTGGCCAAAAAAA